TGATGATAGGGGGTAGTAGTGGAATCCTCTGACAGTATTTCTTTTCCAGAACTCCAAGCGTAATTTGATTCTGTTTTGTCGACTTGCTTATATCACCCCCTCTCCTCATCCTCCCAGACTACGCCACTGTTCCTTTTGTGATTCGTATCTTTTGCCGGTTCATACACACACACACACATACGCACCCATTGAAACACTCAGAATTCGATCCACAATTTAAAGCTCAAGTTCGATTCCTTGGTAAAAAAAAAAAGCATACCTGTGTCCAGTTTAAACGCTTCTCCCCCCCCTCCTTTTACGTCTTCTCAGCGACGCGACGCTTATCGTTGATTGACTTTTGCCTGCTGCCGCCCAATCATTTATCACCCCCACACACACACACACAGAATATACTCTACTCTTCTTCTTTTTCAAATTAGGTTTGATTTTAACATTTGTGCAAATATTACATTCCAATTTTTTCACGTTTTGCACACACAGCCACAGACACGGTCACACAAACACACACACGCTCAACGACGGGAAGCAATTTCTTTTTCTTTTTTGCTTTTGCTTTACTTTGCCTTTTTCTTGGACGATTTTACACGCTCGCCAAAAAATGTCACTGTTCCACCCGCACACGCGCAATTTCACGTTTTTCTTCAATTTGCTTAAAATAATTCTCGAAAAAAACTCATAAATCGCGCGCGAAACGCATATGTGGATCCCCACATTGTGAATTTTTGCGCTAGAGGTGTCAAACCAAAGAAGGCACTATCGATAGTATCGATATTTTACTGCTAGCCTCTACTATCGACGGTTTTGCGACTATCATGATAGTATCGAGCTACAGTCGTTGCGCTTTTGATATGTTTGGATTGGCTGCTATAAAATACGCAGACACATTTGTAAACAAATCGACATGTGGCATCTAATTTTTACAATGGACAAGTTCCTAAAAGGTTTCAATGGGTTTTTAATAATTATTTGAGCCCGATACTATCACGATAGTATCGATTGTTTTTTTCAAAACATTCAACGTTGATATTCCTCGAATTTGATATTCCCTTTCATATTACTAGATAGTTGGCCCTCTCAGCCGTTAACAATTAATTTTATCCAATTCCTCAATAAATTTTGTTGAGAATTGGCTAGTTATCAGAATTCGTTTTCATTAGATTGTTTACATAATAAGGTTCAAACAAAAACAACATAAAACGAATGTGAGTCGTTTTTGTGGCGTTGCCAGACTCGTGCAATTCGTAGTTGCTGCGGGCTGCCATACCATGATATTTTGTGATATGAAATTCGTCAATTTTGATGTTCAGTTTCATATTACTAGATAGTTGGCCCTCTGAGCCGTTAACAAATAATTTTATCCAATTCCTCAATAAATTTTGTTCTGGATTGGCTATTTCTTAGAAGTTCTTTTTATTGGATTATTTACATAACAAGGTTCAAACAAAAACGGCCAAAGCATAAAACGTAAATGTTGACTAAGTGTTGCTGGTCAACCAAGTTTCTTCTATGCGTATGGACTTTTGTATACCTTATTTCTTTTAATTAATGTTAAATGTTTTGTTCCAAGCTCCATTGAAACATTATTTATGATTTGATCCCAGATTGACATGGTTTTTACCTCTTAATGCATATGTTTGTGTCTTATATATACATTTATGCCGGTCCTGATACCTATTATTGGAACCCGTGAGCTGCAAAATTTCGTTAATATCTTGAAAACAGAGACAGTAGTTTCTGCATTAATTGGAGCCTGAAATTACAAACAATATCTCAAGTCCATAATATCCATTTTCCCAAGGTATGCAGATTGTTGCTCATTCCGTGCCAAAGTTGCAGAACAATGCTGCTAATTCATTTCCACATGTTGCTGAATTTTTTCCCATACAAATCAAATGTATCTTACGGGAACGCGTATGGAATGACGCAACAATGAATCTTCATTCCATACGCGTTCCCGTAAGATGCATGTTTCTCACACCACGAAAAGTCACCACGAAAACGCTCTCTTCACCTCTGAAAAGAGAGCAAATTTTGAAAAGCCACCACGATTTGAGAGCGAATAATATCGATATTTTTGTACGATTAATGGAGTTTGGCGGTCGTTTTTAAAAGAATCCTAATATATTAAAAAATATATTGGAACTTGACTAAATAATATACCGTAAGTATTCTGAAGGACACGGCAAAATGCGTTGATATTCCTCGAATTTAATATTCCGTTTAATATTACTAGCAAGCTAGAGACTCTAATTAAAGAACATATAATTTTATCCGATATATGAATAAATTTCCTACAAGATTGGCTAACACTTTTATGATAATAAAATAAGGTTTAAACAGAAAAGGTTAACAAGAGGTTTATAAACTTCAGGGAATATGCACGGCGAGGTAAGGTTCGTGCCCCAGTCCAAAGAGAGCTATTTACGATCTCCCGACTCATTTTTGCGTTTCCATGGATGGAACGATTTGGCGGTAACATCCGGATGTTTTGAAAATAGCCTTTGTTCTTAAAAAATTATATTTAACAGATTGGTGAAATTGATGAAATATATCGTTATGTGTATACCGAAATACCACAAATATTTGATCAATTTGGCTCTGGAGTTTTGGGATTAACAAGTCTTTACTTGATATATTTATAATATAAAATAATATATTGGCCCTTATTAATCAGCAACCTAGAAATTAAACGTCAACGGATGCACGGCAAAGTAGCCTTTGCTCTTGGTCAGCTGATTGGAGAGCCGCACCAGATTATTGTCGTTGTTCACGAAATTTCCGCCCAAGATCTCCGTGCAGAGGGTCTGTACCACATCCCGGCCCTGGGAGCAGATGGCGGTGGCCGTGAGCAGCTCGTGGTCGGCCAGGGGCAGGCCGATGCAGTAGGAGCGCGAGGCACGCGCCGTACTGGCCCACATCGCGTAGATGGTCGTTGAGATCTCGGCCAGACGTTGCATCTCGCTCTGGCGCTCCACCACTGCGTTGCCGTGGCGGGTGAACATCAGCTCGACAGCCATCTGGAGGCGGGCCACCGACTGCTCAATGCATTGGGCTGCCGCCTCCAGCGAGGGGTGCACATGCTCGGACAATTGCATCTTGGTCTTTGGGTTCTCAATGCTGGCGGTCTGCAGGAACTTGCCAAAGATGTGGCCCGGATGGAAGAGTGGATTCCTGGATTTACGCACACCCGAATTCATCGCTTGCTGTGGGAAATAAAGGACCAAGGGTAAATCTTTGCTTTTACTTCGGAGGGCAAATCCATTCGAGATCTCACCCCCGCATGCTGCAGTCCTGTGAGGGCAATAAACATGCTCAACGTGTCGATGGATTCCCCCTGGGTGTACAGCTGGGCGGCATCCCTCAGTCCCAGCTCTGTGGACTGGCCGCTGTGCAGGCTCTTGGGTCCAACGACGCCCAGATTCTGGGAGGCAATCGCGTACAGCTGCTTGAGGGTGTAGTACTTGGTTATGGCACTCTCCAGCGTCACGTCCTGGCCCTGGAACTCGTCCAGCAGTCCGGCGGTTAGGTACAGCATGCTCTCCATGGCATACACCGAGCACATGGCCCGTGACAGGTGCACGCGAGTCATCTCCAGGTCTCTGCAGAGGTGAAACATTAGTAAGAGTCATTGAAGATGAGATGCGTTCCCATCTGGCTGCACCACTCACTTGATCTGCACCCCACACTGGGTGGTGTCCACGCTGTATTGGGTCAGCTCGTTGAGCAGCCGCTTGGCCAGGGAGAGACCGACAAGGCTGCTGCGCAAACGGGAGGCCCGCACCAGTTTCTCCGAGAGGCGATTGCCGTCGTGTGGTAGTCCTACCACATGCTCCTCGCCCAGCTGTACGTTGTCGAAGTGAACACGCCGCATCTGGGTCTCTCGGCAGCCAATGGTTGCGTGCTGCTCGCCCAGCCGAACGCCAGCCTGCTGGGAGTCCACCAGGAAGATGGTCGTGCCACGGCCCAAGGATCCGGGAACGTTTGGCTGCTGTGTCTGGGCCAGCACCAGGAAGAGTTGCCGTGCACCAGGAGCACACACCACAAAGGCCTTCTCACCGTTGAGCAGCCACGAATTGGACTCTGGCGCGAATGTGGCGTGTGTGCTGAAGTAGTCGTCCTCGGGCGGGGTATACTCGTAGATGGCCTCGGTGGCTATCAGCTGTCCAGTGCCCAGATCGGGTAGATACCTCTGCTGCTGTTGTTGGCTGCCCACCTCCCGCAGCAGGTCCACGACCACGCGATGAGCATGCAATCCCAGGCCCACGCTGGTTGCCGTCGAGTCCGGCTCGCTGGCCATCAAACTGGCGCTCCAGCCATAGCCCCTGCCATCGTAGTCGATGGGCACATTCAGGCCGTAGAGTCCGAGCTGTTTGAGATTGTCCCCCGACGTCTGCTCTGGCTCCGTCTCCTTGGACTCGCTGAAATAGTTCTTGAGGGCCAGCAGGGCGTTCTGCAGCTGGGACATGTCCTCGCGGGGTATAACCTCCGGATAGGCCAACAGCTCCTTGTCCACGGCCCCAATGAAAAAGTTCTTCACCAGCGGTTCACGTGCAGGCAGCTGTTGTTGTTGCTCCGCTGCCTCTTCTATGCCACCCGGCTTTTCGCTGCCACTGGCCGCCGCATCCTGTTGCTGTGGATTGAGGCTCGATGTGGTGGCCCTGCTGCTCTTGCCGCGTATCAGCAGGGTACTTCTATTGTATTTTAGCAATCTCGCGGCACCAGAAAAGACCTGGGATCGAATCATTTTCGTAAAAATTGTAAAATTAGGTAATATGGCAATGGTGGGAGCGATCAGCTGTGCGTGCTCGAAAACACCGTTTAACAAAACAAAACAAAGTACTTTTATGCACTCTTACAACACTGCAGAGAAGTGGCATCACTCTTCTTTGGGTGTCAACTCGTAGCTGCTTGCTATGAAATCGCTCACTGGACTTGCATTCAAATTCAAATTCAAAACAAATAAAATCATTAAATCAGTTTGAATTAAAAACACAAAACCCTTTATTGAATCATTGTATATTGGTGTTATTGTTACACATATAATTGCTATTGACAGCGCACATTAAGCTCTCTACTTAAAACAAATGAAAGAAACTATGATTCTCCAATTTGATATCCAACGAATCCCTCCCTTCGCATTGACTTTGTTTCGCTACGCCTGTTTCGTATTCGTATTTTTAGTTAAATTGCTCAAATCATACCATACCACCTACCCTACATAGATTGCAATTGCATTTTCAATTCTGTTAATAGCTGTAAGTAAGTAGTTTTCTGTGGTTTTGTTTTGTTAAACATACATCAATTGTCAATAGTTTAGTCAGGTATCAATGGAAAATAAGAATTTCGTCAACACATATTTATATCTCGTACCACAACTAAATATATATATATTTATATAGTTTTTATTGAAGTATACAGTGGGTGCTTGAGGTATAAGCACTTGTTGCATATGGAAAACGAAAACAGTGAAAACTAATTAAAGTGGAGACACAACTCAACTGTATTTTGTATTGTATTTTGCAATGTGTATGTATGTATTTATGCATGTACGTTAATTTGTCAATTGTATTTAACTAAAAAAAACCCTATTAGAATATACCCTCCCTCCCGCTCACTGATGCGGCTCAGCTCATATCGTATCACAGGCACGCTTAATAGACACAAACCACAAACAAATCAGAACGAAACACTCAAAAAACAAAACAAAATACTCAAACAAACTTGCACTCAACAAAAACATTTAGAATTTGATTGCCGTGGAGCCCACAGTGCACTGCGGAGGCAGAGGGCAGTGGCAGTGCGTGGCTCTTTAGGCTTTAGGGTTTAAAAACTCACTACACACTAACAACAACGATCGATATGAGCAGCGCATCCAAAATACCACGTTCACTTTCACTTTCACTTATCCAATCTTCTCCAATCATCCATCAATTCAATGCACTAATTTCTAGCTTTCTACTCGATAAATTGCATTTAAAATTGTTTAGACGACCGCTACACGACGATTATACATATATATTTAGTATATAAATATATAGGTACATATATTTATATGTTATATGTCCCTATGCCACAGGGCGGCATAGTACTCTCTAGTATTGCTAGGTGTCGCCCCGCCCGTCTGTGCCCTCTCCTCCGCTGACCATTTTGAACAGGGAGACACAGATATCCATTCAGAAGGATGGATCCCCCAGTTTAGTGGCTTTTGTCTGGCATTTCAATTGCTTTTAAATATTCAACTTGTTCAACATTTTTACATTGCAATGTTTTCTCTCCACAACATTTTTCAAAAATTCAAAACTATACCATGAAACAGCACGCACTTTCCACGCAAGGGGAAGAAAGTGGGGAAAAAATGTCAAAAAAAAAATATTTAAGTTAATTTACGTAGATTAAAGAATAACTAATAAAGCGATTGGTTTTGCACATGGGAATATCTTTCGATTCCTGTTCTCTCCCCCGATCCCATCCATCCCTATTCCTTCCTTCCTTCCGTCTGCTTGCCAAGGGACCTCCCTCTACAATTGATATTTTGGATATTGCTGGAAGCGGTGCCAGAGCTGGGCATGGAGCTGCTGGCACAGGCGGCGTATGAGTTGGTAGGTGCCGCCCAAGGCCTTTAGCAACTACTAAATCTTGCCGGCGCTTTCCTGCCGCGCACTGTAGCGCGGCTCAGTGGGCGTCAGGGTGTCGGTGACCAGCTCATTGGGTGCCTCCAGCACGCCCTTGGCGTGGGCAGCGGCCGTGTCGCAGTCGGTGCGCCGTGAGATCAATAATCGGATGTCCGTGTGCAGCGAGAGCCGTCCCGACCGGGATGTCTGGAACCTATTTTTGGAGGGCAAAAGGTGTTGAGTTTATCGGGAGCATCATCAATCTATCCAATCTTAACCTACCTCAGGTGTATGGAGTAGCGCAGGCGCTTCATCTGCTCGGCTGTGATGAAGTGGCCCAATTTGCTGGTGGTGGTGGTGGTCGTGGTGCTGCCTGTGGGACTGCGTGGTATCGGTGGCTGCTGCTGGTGCACCTCCTCCTGCGGCTGCTGCTGGCCATTGCACGCGGGCGGGCACTCCTCGGCCAGTATGCGCTGCCGTATGAAGGTGCGATGCAGGGGCGGCATATCCCGCATATCGTAGGGTATCACAAACATCCTCACTACCGTTCCCATGGGATTCAAGAGAGTGGCCTGCACCGTGCCCGTCCTGGGTACCGAGTAGCCCTTTCGTGGCAAGCGAATCTCGCACTGAAAGGTGTAAAGGGAGTTTGTGCAAGTGAGATCCTGCTGCTGGATGGACTTCCCGATGAATCACTCACCAGGTAGGGCGTGCTCAGGGTCTCGCCATGCAGCTCGTAGAAGTAGGAGACAGCCGGGATGGTCAATTGGGTGGGGCAGAAGCCGCCGGAGGCTCCCAGCTGCAGCTTGAACCCCATCACCTCGATCTTGGGCATCAGACGCTTCTGCAGCAGCGACTCCTCCAGGTTGCCCAGCAGCGGACGGCCCGCAAACTGTGTGGCCAGGCGCGCCAGACTCTTTAGCGGTGATCCCGCGGGGCTGCACATGCCCGACTCCAGATCCTCGTCCGACAGCTGCTCATCGGATCCCAGCGAGCTGCGGTCCGATCGATCGCTCAGGTGGCGGGAGCGTCGCTTGTAGAAGGCCGCCGCCTGCTTGGCAAATCTCGGCGACACCGACAGCGATGCATTGGGCAGCGTGGGGGCCGAGAAGGACTTTTGCACTGGCAGATTTCCCGCCTCCGGGGTGATTAGCTGTGAATGGGCGTGGCTCAGGGCGGCCAAATCGAAGGAGAAGGCTGGACTGCTCTGGCCACTTGCTCTGCTGCCGCAGCCAATGGCTATCGGAGCCGAGCTGCAGAAGATTGTCGTCAGATTCACCTTGGGCAGGGGCTTGCGCATCAGCGGCGAGTACGTCGGTGGCGGTGTCTCGTTGTCCGCCGCCAGTCCGCTGCAGTTGAGACGCAGCTGGCTGGGCTTTGGCGACGGACGTCCCAGCGACGGGGTGCCCGACTGCGGCGTGAGGGGCAGATGACTGATGGGCGTCTTGAACTGCACCACAATGTGGTCGGCCACGGCTGGCGGTGGGGTCTTGCAGCGATCTGTGGATGGATTGAGCAGGGAGCAGCGCTCGATGTTCGACGTCAGTTTGGTGGACGCAACCTGCGGGATTGGCAATGAATCAGTCACTGGAATCACTCTGGAAGCAAGGCTTGGTCTTACCTGTGTCTCCCGCTCTACCTCTGGATCTGGCTCTGTCTCCTGCTCCATCCGGGTGTAGCCATTACTCCGGCCTCCAATTGCATGCCCCCCTCGGCCATTGGCAAAGTTATGCTGCGTCTTCTGCCGCTTGCATACCTGACAGCCGCTGGCCGGCACCGCCTTCGGCTGGTTGTTGTTCTGCCCTCTGTTGAGATCATGTTTTGCCTGGTGGGGCTTTCGGTTTCGATTCTTTGGGGTGCGCTGTATGGCCTGAAGAAGGAGCTCGGCCTTGTTCCGTGGCGTGCCCACAATGAGATCACCGCTGCTCAGGCTGCAGCTGGACGTGTCCTCAATCTCCGAGGCCGTCGTATCGTCATCGTTCTCATCCCTCTCCCCCTCCCCGGCTGTGCAGTTCAGGCAGAGCAGCGTCTTCTCGCTCCCGCACTGCTGGCAGCTGCTCAGCGAGGTCTGGGTGCCCGTCGATATCATGGCTATGCGGCGTGGCTGTGGATGCGCTAGTGTCATCACTATGGCCTGCTGCTGCGACTGGGACTGCGATTGCGACTGCGAGTGGGATGCCGACTGTGTCATCTCCTCGCCCTCCTCCATGGGCTCCTCCACCTGCAGGCGCTCTGTCGATGATTTCTGATCCCTTTTCTTGTCCCGTCGCTGCATCCGCTTGCGGTACTTCTGCAGCTGGCGCTCCCTGTGGCTCACGCTCCCAAAATCGCCCGATACGTCCAGCTCATCGCCCGATGGCACCACCTGCGGCTGCTTGCCATTTTTATCACAGTTGGAGCTGGATGTCAGCGTCGTCGTTGGCATTGTCGTTGGCGTTGTTGTTGGAGAACTGCTCATCGCAGTGGTACGTGCTCCCAGGCCCGTGGGTGAGGCCGCATGAAAGCCCCCGCCACCTGTGGGAGTGCTGGCTGGCTGCGTCGGCGGCCGTAGAGATCGCGCTGATGGTGTTGGCAGCGGCAGCGGCAGCGGGGGCTCTATGTGCGGCAGGCCGCCATTGATCCGGGGCAAACTCTTCACGCACACGGACACGCTGAAGCTCTCCGAGATGTTCACATTGGGAAAGTTGTGAACCGAAGCCTTGACACTGAAGCCGCCCTCATCCATGTACTGGCCGCCACAGCCGTTGCTTGCCGCGGGGTTATGCTGCCTGATTCTGTAGAAGATGTTGAGGCGGGGCCGACGCGAGGCATGGGAGCCACTTCCACTGCCACTGGCAGCTGGATCCCCAGCGCTGTGGCTGGCAAAGACTACGCGTCCGCTGTCGTAGACAGAGGGATCGCACTTGCGCAGCAGATCGCACCAGGCCACGATCTGGGAGAAGTACAGCTGGCTGCGTATGGCACTGCACAGCGAGGGCAGGGTCATCGTGGGAGGCGGCACTCTATCGGTGAGAGAGAGAGATAGAGAGAGATTAGTGGAGCTGTAGAGATTTTTTTACTGCTCGTTTCACTTACTTCTCCTTGCCGCTGATGATCCACTGCTCCAGCAGCAGCTTGTGGCTGACTGGACCCAGGTACACCTCAATGCAAACAGGATCACGGCGGGCCAGAATTGCCTCCATCTTCATGCAGTGCGAACGCCAACGATTGCACTAAAATTGGCCAGTAGGGAAATCAGTGGAATCAGTTTCGAGGAGTGGAGTACGGCATCCGATTACTTACGGTCATATTTAGGTAAGACATATCACAGATGTGCTCCTCAGCTTCGGTTGTCGCCTCGCCTTTGGCCAGACCCATCTTCCTGAGGAACTGATCACAGTGTGGCCCATGCTTGGGCCTGGTGTTGGTGGTGTTGGTGGTGGTGCTGGCGGAGCTGCTTGCTCCGCTGTTGGCAGTGGCAGTGGCAGTGTTGGTATTGGTGTTCGGATTGTTGCTCCCTGCTCCTGCTGCTGCTGCTCCCATTGATCCGGATGCTGTCCAACCAAAGGTCAGACTCAGGTTACGCGTCTCCGACGGAGAAGGCTGGGCAATGGGCATGGCTGGGCCGCCTCTCAGACAGGTGGTGGCCAAAGATTGCAGCGAGTGCAATATGTTGTCCGAGGAGTTGGAGCCGAGGGAGCTAGCGGCACTGGAATTGTTTGTTCCACCACCGCCCACACCACCTCCTACTACTCCTCCTCCTCCTCCTACTCCTATATTGGCCATGCCCGTACCCATTCCCAATCCCCCAGCTCGATTTAGCATAACTCGACGGACTATTTCGTAGTCCCCCCCATGATCTGTGTTGAGATCATTGATGGCCAGGGACACCAGCTCTGGCTCGGCACTCATGCTCTGCGCTGCCGGCGATATCTGCCGTAGCTGGCAGAGCTTCTGCGTCCAACGCTGATGCGTTGTCGTCGTGCTGGTCGGTGTCCCAGCTCCGCCTACCACTCCGCCTCCGCCCCCTGATCCATTGCCATGGGGAGAGCGCGGAGTGCTGGCGCCTGCATAGGGATTCGTTGTTATATTAATGGCCGCCCGGGAAGTGGAGGGTCGCGGCGATAAGCGACCCCCACTGACTGGCGCTGCACCGCCCCCTACCCCTATGCCTCCTCCGCCGCCGCCTGCTACCGCCTGCGGCTGGTACTCGTCATCCGCAATGGGTCTGCCCTCGAGGATGAGCGACGCCAGTCCCAGCACAATGGAACTGTAGTTGTTCTGTGCCGCCTGCTGCTGCTGCTGCTGCCGACGATGACGCAGACGCTCCTCCACCGACGACGCCTGCCGCCGAGCCCAGTGAGGAAGCAACAGCTCCGTTCTGGGCCAAGCTGGCAGGGGGCGGTGAGTTGGTGACGCTGGTGGGTATCATAGTCGGGATGTCCTTCTTGATGTCCTTTGCTGCGCTGCTCCTGCTGCCTCTGCCTCAGCCTCAGCTTTAGACTCGGCTGCTGCTGCTTGAGTTGTGCTTGCACCGGAAGTACACTGAAACAAAACGAAAATCGAATAAGAAAGTGTACAAATTTTAGTTCTTTTTATTTTGATATTTGTCCTATTTCCTATTGTCAAATAGCTCCCTAGAAGGGTATTTCAAGAGTCCTTTCACCCACTCCTTTGAGGCCTCCACCCACTCTGAATGTCAAATGTCACATTGCGAATGAGGTCACAACAGGCGGGGGCGGGGACAGGGGCAGGGACAGGGCCATGGATGAAGAAAAAAATTAAATTGAATCCTGTTTTGAAGGTCTCCTCCACCTCCACCTCCGCCACCCCCTTGCCCCTGATCAGCTCTTACCCTTGCTCTTGCCTATGTATTACATAAGGGCTGACATGGTTTACTTTTTATCCCTAAGATGCGGAAGTAACGCACACGGCCAGAACAATGGGACAGAGCCAGAGCTACATATAGCCTTCGATGTCTGTTACTGCCACTGGCCGACACACTGACACGGCCCCGATTTGGCCTAAAAAGAATATAATTGAAAAACCAGGTCGTTACTTAACCAGAAGCAAAAGCCCAGTTGAGTGTGCAACATGTCGTGCATTTGGCAATGCACAATTCTCTCTGCCTCCCATCATCACCACCCTCCTTTCGGCACGCGCGTGTTGCTCGCTCTTCGTCCCACTCAAAAGCTAATACCAGCATGTTGCCAACGCTGTGACGTCAGTGACAAGCCAAGCTTTGCAGCAGCACCAAAATTGTGCAGGGGTATTGTACATACAGACAGGCACTCGTTGAAGGTCGCCTCAAATACTCTATGGAAGGGTAGTTGTTAGCAGCCCAAGGCTGTGCCACTCACAGCGAGTAAAAGCTCGTGACAGAGTACCGAAGCTTCGACTAGTTTGCGTCTCTCTCTCTTCTATTCTGACGCAATTCTGGCCTGCTTAAACCGCGCTTGGTAACAGCAGCAGCAGCAACGACGCCATGTACATGCACATGCACATACATAGATGCACAAAAAATGCAAAACAAAAAAAGTTTGTATACAAAAAACAGCTGTTGCAGCCAACACGCGCGGCCAACAACACTCTGTCAGCATGTTGCGAGAGCGCGTACGCTCTCTCTCTCTCTCTCTATCTCTCTGCTGTGTGTGTGCTTGGGTAAACATGTTTGTCTTTACTTTTGCTTTTGTTTTTGCGTTTCTTCTTGACCTGCATGCACAATATATAACTGGCACGCGAAAGAGAGCGAGCCCGCGAGAGAAGAGAGTGGTAGGTAGGTGGGTAGGTTGCGCGCTCTCGCTCAAAGCTCTCTATGTGTTTGCGTGTGTGTGTTAGAAAACATATGATTTTTGTATTGCTTTGCAATCAGTTGGTAATGTTTGCTCAGCTCCATGAATGTGAGCGTGTGAATTTATACGATATGCATGCGTATGCGTGTATGTGTGTGTCAAGTTTTGTTTATGGCACATCCATGGATACATACATACAAATACACTTGGCCCACAATAGACAATACACACATACACACACACACGCACACAAAAGCATGAAAACTTGTATGAAAATGAGGGCAAGCGAACGGAACGGAACGAAACGGTACAATGCGGACAGAGTTTAATAATATTTGATTAGATTACAGTCTGCCACGCTTTTATTTCAACATGTTATACTATTACTCGTGGTATGTAGGTGTGTATTCCATTATTTCATTTCATCTGCCCATTATCATTTACATCACTTCTCTCAAAAGTTACAGCGAAAACGGAAATTTCGTTAAGCGCTCGTGGCTTATGACGCAGTGGAAATCCGCTACAGGGGAACGGATTGGAACGTTAATAGTGCGACGAGACGACAGTGTGAAAAATTGATTGCGGTGGCTGTGCTTTTAGTGGAAACGGTTTCTGTTTTGGCAAGCCCCCGAGGGTACTCAAAATGTCATTAGCCACAGAGCATTGCGAAATATTCAACTTTCGCTAACGGATAGATTATTTTCCACATGGGGATGATAATATGCGACAATGTGGATACCTCACGGTATCGGAGGAGATTGCCACCCAAAATATATGTTAAACGTTCAATATCATCAACAAGGGCATATAAAAATCAGAAAAACATTGTCACAGGGTTCACCCCAATCCATCCCGGCGCTCCCCCCTTTGCGACGATTGGTTGCACTTCTTGGCAAGCCGATCGCGCCAGCCACACGCTGCCACAGTCCGACAGGTGGCGTACGGAGGGGGGGAGCGAGGGAGGGTGGGTAGGTGGAGAATCTGGTTACCGGGGGGTGGGGAGCGCATTGTTGAACTAATTTCATTTGGCTTGGCCACCGTCCTTGGCATGCTTTTTGATTTTGCAATACGGTTTACGTTTTGCATTGGTCTTGGTTAATTTATTTATTTATTGCACATTTTCCTCTCTCTCTCGCTCTATCTGTCTCTGCCCCATGCTTGCCTCTATGTATGTAAGTATGCATTTTGACGCACATTACAGCATTGCATTTGGACTGCCAGGCGGAAAATGGAAACGGGGCGAAGGCGACCCGTGCCCCGTGCGCGCCCCAAGCGAGCGCCAAGTGAAAGGCAGGCGGCACCAAACTGGCGCTAGAGGGCGCTACACGACAGCCACAGGAAAACCCGTTCAAAGAAAACAGCAACAACAGCAACAAAAGCGAGTGGAAACAAAAAAATATGTTGCAACACTGTTTTGAAAAACAAGTTCCGTCCTCTGTCCCTCCCGTGTCCGCCTGTGTGCACCTTTCGTTTGCTTTGTGCTTCCTTTTTTCGTTTTCTTTGTCTTGGGTTTTGTTTGCATTATGGAATGGCCCCAAAAAGATGCATATGATATTGCTGCAGAACGAAGTCCCCAACCGAATGCAGGCCACATTTATGGCATTTTCCTTTAGTCATCCATCCATCCAGCCAAATGCGTCATGACAAAAGCTTCATTGCATTCTTTAATTCGCTCTTACCCTTTGTCTCTCCATATTCCCTCCACTCCTGCCTGCCCCCCATAAAATGTGTCATCTAAGGCGGAAGTGGTGGAGTCGTCGTGGCTTCTTCGGGTTCCACAATATGACACACCACACCACACACACTCGTGCGTTTCATCCATCCACTTTGGAAGCAGCTGGTTGGGTGGGGAGGGGAGGGGAGGATGATCATTAGAAGTACATCGAGACTTTTTGTGTCGCTGATTGACCTCGGAGTCGACCTTACAAATACCCATTATTCTATCTGTCTGTGTGCGTGTGTGTGTGTGCTCAACCCTCCCATGGCTTCACAGCTGAGCGAGCGTCATGTCGTTCGTTGAGGGGGCTGCACCTTCGATGGGTTACATGGTCACACAGCCAGCCTGCCAGCCTGCCTGCCTGCCTACCTCCCCCTCCATCAATATCTCTCTCTGTCTGTCTTTTTCTCTGTTGTCTAGCAGATACATACAAATGTATGTACATGCATGCTATTGTAGGGGATTTTATCGACAATTTGGACACGGACAAGTGAGAGGGCCCTGAGATAAGAGGCATTTGAGCACAAAACAGTTGAAAGTTGTAATAATTCAAGGTTTTCTACACATAACACTAGAATTCCGCATCACTCACCTTTCAAAACTTTGTTAAAATTCCATTATTTTTTCTGTTTGCTGCAACGAGAGAGAGAGAGAGAGAGAAGGATAGTGTTAGGGAGACGAACAAACGATTAAAAAAAGGAAATAATCCAAGATTAATTACAACAAATAGCAGCGCAAATCAAATAATTGAGCAACATTGTTATATTGTAAGCTAAAGCGTAATTAAAATAGTGATAGAGACAAAGACACCCTGTTTCTTACACAATAAATAAAGTTAAACGGCATTCGAGCCAGCTCTCGCTCAATCATTCACACACACACACAAGCATCTGCTCAAGGTATAATAATAGGAAGGTGCTGGCAACACATGCTGAAGAAAGTATGACTACAGTTCCTACTATCTGCTACCCCACCTTGCAATTATATACCTTGGCTTTGCTTACATGTGCGCAGCAAAAACAAAAAATTGTAAACAAACGCAGTCCAGTTATGGCCCGCTCTGTGCTCTTTTTCCTCTGTCGACAGCGGGCCCCACGTGTGTGAGAGTGTGTGGTGTGTGAGAGCTCTGTAACGTGAGCACGTGAGCGCGTCTCGCTCCCACTGTCTGGAGTGTTTTTGTGTGTGTGTGTGTGTGTGTGAGAGAGAGTGGGAGAGTTGAAGTAAACACCAGCTAGGAAGGAGGACGATGGGGAGGGACATAAGTTGCCCAAGAACTGCGAGTGAGTGTGAGTGAGAGTAAGTCGAAGACACCGATGGCCCGTTTTATTTTTAGCCAAAATGTTATACCCGTCTTGCAAATCGAGAGCACACAATGAACGGACGGTCACGCACACACACGCACTTGTACAGACCACAGTAGCAGACAAAAGCAAATGACCGCAAGAAGTGCCAATGCTCGCTCTCTCACTCCCTCCCCCTACCCGCCTTCCCCACTCACTTCCAGAGTGTGACAACTTCGTTCTGTGCTCCACTCAGCCAGCCCCACTCCACAGTATGTTCTGCTCCGCTCTCCGTTCTACCCGCTCACTTCATTTACATTTCCAACTGCGCACGTATAAAATTACATTGCGACTGTTGGACTGGCTGCTAATGTAATTTTACGTGTTGTGTGTGTGTGTGTGTGTCGTATTTAGTTCTTTTATCTGCTCACCAAATTAATATAAATTGCCCCATCAAAACGGGGAAAAGATAGCATAAGCTTCCCAATCTCTTGACCAAGAAAAAACAACTGTTGCTTCATTTTTTCTGGCTTCTTTTGAATGGTCTTGATTATACAGCTTTCACTTATATAAGGCAGATAGATAGTGAAAGTAGACGTTAATCGGGTTCTATGGCCAAAATATTCTACAATTAATCACATTTAATTGACCTTAAAAAGGGAAGCTTTTTCATCTGCGTGCCATTCTCTTATGTGCTTCTCTTTATTCCTGATCCCCAACACATGTGTGTGTTTCTCTCTCTCTCTCTCTCTCTCTCTCTTTCGTTGTAAGATCTTACACGTGGGTGGTTTTATATGTTGCGCAATTGTCCATAAATCTAAATGATCTGATCTGGGGGCGCACCCAGCCTCAGCCACAGACAGAAACGTTTGTGTATTGCATGGAAAATACCAGGTGCAAATGATTTAGCTAAATCTTTGAGCACGATTCTACCACCCCTGCCCTGCCCCCATCACCATTATAATCAGCTGATTGCCTCAGTGCTGCTCTCCTCTTAATAGTTAATAAGTGCCTCTCGCTTTGACTGCATGGGGCACACGAATGTTGACACACAGCAACAGCCCAATGCAACAACCAACAACTGACGCCACAATTAGAAAATGTGTGTCAATTATATTTAAAAAAAAAAAAGTAGTTTTCCCGACTTGACACACCACACACACACAGGCACAAACACAAACGCGCATAGAAAAGAAACACACTCGGAGTGTTTGAGGGAGTGGATTGGAGCAGTCAGAGAGTGAGAGGAAGCGATATTCCAATTGCCTTTTCAGTAATTTATATGTTATACAACAACAACACCAACAACAGCTACCATAACGCTGAAGGGGGCGTCGAGTAGTCTCCCAAAGTGTTTTCACACACGAGTTCCTGAGCGATCTTCAATTATTATACTGTATTTGTCAGTGTGTATGTGTATGTGTGGGTGGACGTGGAGCTTTGACTATTGCGATGTTTTCATTTGAGCATTACGTCACCAACACATGCGCAACTGCACAGCTGAGTGGGGAACGCTCCGAGCAAACGTCACAGCAGTTACTCTCACCCACACCACCACACACACATATAATACGTGAGGGTATTATATTATGTACAATGGGGGGGAGAGGAGACTTATCTTATGTATATTCTGGGTACCAACCTTTTTCTAAACACTTTTCTCGTCCAAATTTTCACGTTTCTCCAAAACTTTTACAATTTTATACGGGTTTGGTTTTCTTGATTGGTTTCTCTTTGCAACCAAATTCCATGCCCCTTTCAACTGTTCATCATATTTATTAACTATTCACCCGCTGCTGCCTTGGCTGCAGTTGCTGCTGCTGTTGTTGCGTCTGTGATTTAAGTTGTTGTTTGCTCTTAGTTCTAAGCGGCTGACAACAGCAACAACGTTGACAGCGACATATGGGGTATTCACGAAGCTGCATTTGAATTCTCAACGGTTTTGCCTGGCGTTTTCAATGTGAAATTGAATTGAAGTCGCGTTTTGGAAGAGTACACTGCACGCACCGACACGGCACACACTCGCAGAACAATAGGTGTGTGTGTTTGTATGTATATGGATCTGTATCTGTGTCTGTTTTGGTCCCACACCACACCACACAACACTGATTTTGATTTTGCTCACTCGCACGAAACGGTATACGAATGCGAAACACAAGAGTCCAGCAATATCAGCAGCAGCAGGTAACAAATACCAACAGATTATTAACGAAACAAAACTTGTTTGCTTAGATTTCAATATTATTTTTGGTCTTTGGCTGCACTTTTTGGCTCTCCACGAACAAAAAAAAAACCCCAAGATTGCCTGCCTCTCTCTGGGCTGCTTGTGCTCTCTCGTATAACTGCAGAGTGGGCCGCGTGTGGTCGCTTTGGGGTTCGCAATTTGAATGAGCGGACGACGACAGTGCTCCGCTGCTGACGGCAACTTTCTAAAACAGCTGAGTCGAGCCACACGCTCGCGACGCCACGGCTGGCTTTGTTTTGCTTCTGTTTGCGTGCGAGTGTGTGTGTGAGTGTATCTGTGTGTTATGTGCTCAGTGGGTACATAATGTGTTTCTCTACATACATACATACACATGTATATACTGTACGTGTGGCTATGTGTAGGGAAAACTACGTCGTACATTTGGCTAGTTTTTGTTTTTTTCGTGTTTTATTTATTTTTTTTGGCATGGCCCTCCTCCAACATCTGGCAAGCAACATGTTGCCAGCGTCACAGTTCAGTTGGAGTGCGCCAACATGTTGCAGTGCACAGGGGAAAACGAATACAAATAATGTATACAAAAATCATATGGAATTTCCAAGGCCCTAGGAGAGAGAGAGAGAGAGAGAGAGAGACGGAGAGGGAGAACACACACGCACACAGACAGATAGACGTGCATGCATGGCGACATTTGAGTGATTAGTGAAGTAAATAGGTAAAATATACTATATACATATGTAGTATATAAATATACATGTATTTAGATCGTAAATGGAGGGGCAGACATCTCTAAGTGATAGCGATTCAATAACAAAGCCAGTCACAGATACTGAAAAGTATACACACAGCAGCACACACAGCGAAACGAACCCGTTTCCATATGTTTGCGAGATGATGATGATGGTTGGCTCCGCAGCTTCTGCTGCTGCCACTGCCACTGCCTCTCTCTGCTACATCCATGTTGCTGTTGTGACTTTTGCTTTATATACCAAAAATAGCTGGCATATAAAGAATCAGATTGGGTTTTTGTTTTTGCTCGTGTGCTTTCTTGAGTACTTGTTGGGGTCTGACAGACGGACGGAAGCGGAGTTCTTGGAGTGAAGTAAACCACAAAAACAGCGCAGTAAAAAAAAAAAACCACAAAAAACGCATGCGCCCTCACTGCACTTAATACATACATATACATGTATACATATGTATGTGTGTAAGTATAATCCAAAACCCAAAGACAGTCAGCAGTTGGCCTGAGAACAGACCCCAAAAGACGTCGTCGCGACCCAGACAACAGCAACAGCATTCAGAGTTTATGTTTGCTTACGCTGCTCTCTTTGTCTCTCTCTCTCACTTAGTTTCTCTCTCTCGTTCTGTGTGCTCTGCTCTCTGGGACCTTGCAATCCAAAAGATGCGACATCTTATCAGCAGAACCCACACACACACAGACACACACACAGAACAAAGAACACTATTTGCTGATATGATTTTTACTTGGATACGTCGTCACAGGTCTGTCTGCTTCTTTTTACATGGGTACGGCGGTACTTATGGGGTATAAATCTACTTCAAAAGTGGTTTGCTTTGGACAAAAGTATGGGACATGGGAGATCTTTTAGTGTACTCTCTCTCTTAGACGAATATTGTTCAATATTTGCTTCATATTGCTCTCTGTGCACATTTCCCAAGAACAAATCAATGCACACACAATCACGGGCAGAATCAGACCCAGACGAAGACGCAGACACATCCACACAGCACCTACGGGTGCATATGGACTCGTCACTTGTCTGCGAAACGAACTTGAGTAACCCAAGCCGAAGGATACATGGCATGGCATGGCGTGGCGACAACAAAGACTTGTCCGCGCTGCAGACAAAGAAATGCCAAGACCGTCTGGGTCTGGTCTCTTGCTCTTGGCCAAACAGGAAAACAAGAAACTGCTGTTGACCCCTCCGCACTCTACTCTCCACTGGCAGGCATGGCATGGTGTGGTGCGGGGGGTGAATTTTATAAATGCGAAGTTGGTGGGGGAATCGATTGGAATGGTTGGAAAACCTCGTGAACAGATTAGTAGCTCAAATGTAATTTGCTTTCACTGCCATCTATCAATCTGCCCAATCGATTCAATTCCCAGGGTCTCCTTGTGGATCCTTATCTAGGGACGACTCCTAATGCATTTCAGGTCGTTCTTTCATTCCCAGACCCGAAAATAGGTCCCGGCGATGGCACGCACGGCGACTCCCGACCAATATTTACCAACTTTCGACTCTCGCTCTCCCCCACCCGTCTCTCTTTATCGTTCATAACACTCCAAGTACAAATAAAACGTGTTTGGTCTGAAGGAAGCTTCCCCCCCACCCTCTGATTACAGGTAGATTCGGTTTTTATGAAGGTAAGTCATGTGATTTCCCACCGGTAGAGGCCGCTGCTCCGGTCAGTCCAATCGCATGGAGCCAGCCCTTTGGGGGCTTAGACGTTTGGCCTCAAGCTTGGAAATTTTTCTGTTTTTATTTCTGGTTTTCTTCCACAACTTTTGCTTTGTTTCGCTTCCCCTTTGGAAGCTAAAAGCTTTGCTGATTGACTGCTTTCTTCGGCTCTTGGCTTCTTTAATTAAGTGGAATTTTAGAAATGTCCGAGGGGCATCATAATTTTTGGCGATGCATAGTCATGATATATTTTTGATTAGCAATCAAGAGGATCGAATTTTGACAAAATGTTTTACCATCCATGGGAACAAAGGATAAAATGGTGTCTTTGTGCTCTGCCACCGAAAAATTAGGGTAACAACAGCAAAATGAGTGAATTTCTCTTCATATGTGAACAGTTGATGTAAACACACACAGCCACACACACATGCAACAAAGATCAGCTGTTTTTTGAAAAACCTTATGAAAGAATTGGGTAAAACTAACAATAATATTATTACTTTGTTGCTATCTTCAAGTGGCTGTTCGTCTGCGAACATGTGTGTTTATTTACCATAACTTATAAATGATAGAGCATTTCTTTTCTTATGGCCTCACACACACACACGCACACACCATACATGTGTATATGTGGTGTAGTGCTCTCCCTGTTCCCGCACGTTGCCATTAATTTGAAATTGTGTAGAACGCAGTTGCGGAAAAGTGTCGGGAGAATCTTACGACTGGGACTGCCGGGGCCCACTTTGGATTGATTATGAGCAAATATATATGTGTAGCAGCGTCTGCTGTCTTACACAAGGGGCGAATACGTAACCACCTCTGTAGGAAATGCGTTGCTTTAACCCTGAAAAAGATATTTTGAATATACAAACATATCTATGTAGGTTTTGTTCAAAATCGTGCATCTATTGCTGCCATGGGAAGGGGGGGTATGAAAAGCGTTTGGCCCTTGAAGCAAGCTCTCCTCTTCCTTTGTTTCTATTTCCGTACAGCTGTTCTTTGCGCTTACACGTGACTGTGATTGACTCGTCGTCAGGTGCGCTTTTCTGTGCTGTTCTGTGCTTTGCTGCGGCAGAGTATAAAAGAGGTGTAACGGTAATGAGCTTGTCGTCGCACACTAAGTTTAAGGTTGAGATATCGAGAGAGAGAGAAAGCCAACAGCTGGGCGGCCGCCATGTTGGGGCGGGAGTGGATGTTCAAGTGGGTGCGGGATTGGGGTTGGAGTGAACTGAATAATATATGTATAGTGCCGACTGACGATGCGGCGACTGGTGTGACTATGCATATTGATAATCTCCGTTAGATAGCAGGCGGACATTTTGAATGGTGCCTGTGCATGGTAAATAATTAAAGTTAATTGAGTTTTAGAGTTGGCATGTACACACACACATGCAAGCACACAAACACACAGATAAGGATAGATGTACATTTATAAAACTACATTTCCTGCCCATTTAGAGAAACACTCACACCCACACATTGGGGCGTGTTCCACATCTTGATCGAGATGGAAATAATCCCAAAGAATTATAAAAGCGAAACAGAGATAGAGATATGCCTAAAGAACTTTGCCAAAACGGGAACTACGTAATATTGCCTGGCCTGGCCTGGCCTGGCCTGCCCTCCCCCTCCACCATGCCCCTCTCGTCTTACTCTGATCAAAAGCTCTCTCCGTCTCTCTTTCTCTGTGTAGACGAATCTCTCGGCCCCCCCACCTTTGAGACCAGTTGGACCATGCGATGACTACATGATGTTTATTTTTGTAAATGCTGTACAAAACAACACAACACAACAAAAAAAAAGAAGAAAAAATATTAACGCAAATAAATCTAAACAAAGAGCTGTGCTTTGTTAACGAGTTAGAGAAAATGTTGCTCGATTGAAACGATAAATGATACGAAAATTCCATCAAAACAATCTCGCATGCATGCCTCCCATACCCCACCCCACCCCCTTTCAAGGATATCCTTCTACAGGGTAAACAACCCTCGGATCAAAATGATCTAAACAAAAAGAAAAGTAGTAGCCAAGGGGTGAGAGAGAGAGAGGGAGTAAGGGAGGGCGGAACACCAGTCGAGACATCTACATCTCCTTCCGCTCTGCCATGGTTGCCTGCTCTCCTGTAACCATCGACATTTGCCAACTCTCTTCTCACCCGAAATCAGCTGCGAATATTTTTTTGGTGGGTTCATTGGCTCGACAACTGACTGACTCTCTCACTCCCTCTCTCTTCAGCACACTCTCACAGTTACGCTCTTCTTTTTGTTATTTCTTGCTCGCACACGTTGCTCAAAGTCATTCAACCCAGCAACAAAATAACGTAAAATAAAACGCAATAAGGAGAGCGACGTGGAGGAGGGGGAGTACCACAAGAACACAAGCAATAACAACAACAAAAACGGGAAGGAGAGCGGGAAACGTCAACGGCAGCAGCGTCGATGGGGTCACTGAGCGTTGCCACTCTTCCCCACTCTCACTAACCCCCGCGTCCCTTATCTATTAATCCATCCATCCCACTCCCGTCATCCCATTTTGTGAGATTGAATTTTGAAAATATAATGCGTAGCAAAGTCCGTCGATGAGAAGTGCCAAGTGGATGGCCTGTCCGATGATTGTCCGCCTGCCGCCACACTCCCCCGCAAAGAACACACCCAGGATATGATCATTAACACTCATTTGAAGAATCAAGAAGTACATACATAAGAGTTCTCGCTTCTTTATCAGTCCCAGAGCTGAGTAATATATGACCCTGATGTGTCGTCACACAACCGAGCGCTGCAGTGGCACTTCGAACCGAAACACCCAATCTCAGATAGCCACCATTTGGGACGCAGCTTCTGATAGGCGTTTTGGGTTTTAATTGTTTGCTTATCTAAGTCGCCCCGCATTACCAACCGTATGGGTGTCGGTGACTCTCAAGATAAGGCTCTCTTGCGGTTCGATTCGATTCGGTTCGGATTCTCATTATCATGGAAAATTAAGCCAAAGAACTGTTTGGTTTGAGGCGTACGGAACGGTACGGTTGACAATACTTATGGCTTCATTAACTGAATGGAAAACCATAAATAAGGCGAAAGAGGGCCATCACAAGGTGTGGGAAGGGGAGGGGTCTCCAACTTTTCCCCATGTGCATTTTATTATGTTTGCATTTACTTTAAGCTACAAAACATATTCGAATAAATTGGTAAAACAAGGTTGACATTATCAAGTACACACAGATGTGTGTGTGTGTGCGTGTGCATTGTGTACCGTATGCAGTGCTGTGTGCTACGTGTTATACATGACAATTGCGGGGCAAAATGATGATGGGAACCTAGATGATTGATACAGAATGCGAAAGATGCGGGCATTCATTAAACTAAAAGCTATCCCCTAGCACGTTCATAGGACAGAACAAGCGAATACAGCTGTGGTTAAAATAGGGCCGTTCTATTCTTGTTGCCGCTACTGTTAAATTAGGCAGAGCTTCTTCTCTGCGTTGCAATAAATCTGCTCAAAATCCTAAAAATCCTGTAAGTAAATTAACATAAGAAAATGTTAAATAGTCCTCTCTTCTTTTTGAACCGTTCTGCCTTTCAGCCTTGTTCCGTTGATCCAAAGATTTAACATGGCTGCCTGCCTGTGTTACATGAACAGTGAGAGAATGAGAGAAAACTGTAAAAGCTACACTGAAAACATTTTTGGAATGTTTTTAAACGGTAATTCGTCTTTTGGAAATTGATTTCTTCTATTTTTCTAATTTTATGGCTATCGTCAAAACAATTCAATGCGAATATTAAATCAATATGGATGAGCGACGCTCTCTCACCTAAACACACACACACTTGTAGGGACAAACTGTCAACTGTTTTAATACGATTTCCTTTGTTCTTTGGGGGCTGCGCAAAAAGGAAATGGAAATGAAATCAAGGATACAGCAGAGCCAACTTCGCTGCGCCCGTCCCTTTCCATCTCTTTTGGCTTTAGCAGTTTCTTTGTCTGCAAAACACACACACACAAGCAAACCAGCTGATTGGGGAGAAATCTGTGTGTGTGTCTGTGTGTTCTTCTGAAGCGCGCAGCAAATTCAAATTGAAAAGAACGCAATGAAACGTGAATTTAAATCATTCACTTTTGCAGTTCAGTTTGACCATATACAGAGAAGAATCAGCGAGGAACGTTGCCAAGAACACACATAGAGTATATAAGGCCATGTATCACTTGGCATGCTTTGTTTACATAAGGCCCCCACTTACTGGAGAGAAGGAGAGAGAGAGAGCGAAACACGTTTCGAGCAATCTTTAAAGCGAAATTCTAACAAAATTCCACCATAATACATATATCTGGGACCCGTCTTCCGGTCGGACGGACATCTGTCCCCGCATAAAGTTCAGAGTAATTAAACTTAAATTGTAGGATGGGATAACTCAGTTCGTAATTCACTCGAGCAAATGGAATTGCAATCAAAATGGCCGACGACTTACCTTTTTTTTTTGAACAAGAATACCAGATCGGATCGGATCGGGCAAACGCACTTTGTTGCAAAATGCTGGTGTTGCAGTTGTTTCTAATTATAATTTGTTGCCTTAATTAGACATGATTGCAGTTTATTTTGGTTGCAGATATTGATTTGATTTGCTGCTGCGGCGCTGCTGCTGTTTGCTGCCTCCCACACACAGCCCACACACATATAGACACCCAGGCACGCACACACACGAAGCCTCTGCTCAGCTGTGCTGTGCTTTGTTGCTGCTTCCTCTCTTCCTTGTGCTGTGTTGTGTGTGCCTTTCCGTCCCGTACGTCTAAAACCGCATACATTGATTTTTTCGCTGCATTTTAAACACTTTCTTGGCCTTCATTTCGAATTAATATTTTATATAACACATCATCAGCTTTTCTTTGCATTGCACACACTTTTGCTCTCTCTCTTAGCACTTCCACTTCGTTTCTTTTCACTCCTTTCTTTACGTTAACAAACTTTTCGCAACACGAAGAAAACGGATCTATGTAGCTCGTTTCGCTCGTCCCGTCTTCACCCCCACCTCGCGCAACACTCCTGTAGTAGTTGGCTGGTTGTCTTTATTTATTTATTCGCTAAAACTGATCGTTGGCAGTCGCCATTGCCACTCACTGCAGCCACACAGCTGAAAATGTTGGTGCAAGTGCCACCACAGGTGCAGGCCGATGCCAAAACCGCTGCATCTCTACACCAACAACTACGCGTTGATGCGATTTCGAAGCCGAAATTTGCATAGTTACGCTCAAACACGCACGCCACGGCAATTAACGATTAATTGTTTATTTATTTGCGAAAGATACGCCTACGTCCAGAACAAGTCCAATCCAACGAACGTAACGTTGACGTCTCGTAAACGTAATGTCAACATCCAACTTAACGTTACGAAAAAGCACCAGAAAATCCCAAGCGCCTTTATTTCAATGTGGCAGCACTGTTCCAAAAGCGCGCCAAGTTTGAAATTCTCTACGTTGTTGTAAATAAAACACTTGTTTCTCATTTAAAATATTTGTATGTTAAACCCTTTGTATTTTTGTATATGTATTGTATATGAATGTAAATTTCGTTAAACCAAAAGTTTTATTAGTGTGTCTGTTTAAATATATATTTATGTATATATTATATTTTTGTTTTCTTGGTACGGAACTAATTTGTTGCACTTTACCTTTACCGGCAACCATCATAATTATGCTTGAACTTTTGCACATTTCTATGGCTTTTCAAATTACTAAACTCTAACTAAGACATATCAGTGGTGTTTAATTGTTTTAAAACATACAATACAATACAATAGTAGTTGAAACACACTACAAAGAGACACTGAGAAAAAGACTCGTTAAAATACGCAGCTTACGACACAACTCGACTCGAGTATACCCATTAGTTTTTGTTTTATTTTATTTTTCTCTCTTTTTTTTCTTTCTTTGTGTAAATATGATTTTCATTTAATTTTTTTTTTTCGTTTTTCTTCTAGGAAAATATATGGTTGATATATGCAAATATGACACCATCTGTTTAGTTCTTAAATTTAGAGAGATTAAAATGAACCAGGAAAATATCTGTTTTTGCATTTATCGTGTTAATTCTGAGTGAGGTGTGTGTGTGTGGTGTGTGTGTGTGTGTGTGGTCTGTGGTGTGGTGAGGGGTGGCTAGTGTTGTGGCCTGGCCGTTTATTGTCACACCAGCGCTTTCAATTTGGTTATCCGCGAGCAAAACTCTTCATCCATTTAAAGGGGGACAAGATGGTAAGGAAACCATTTAGTTATAGAAAATTAATGTGTATACAGAAAGAGATCTTAAATGGTGAACTACTAGTATGCTCCTTGGGATAACACTCCAGCATTGACAATGCAGCCCCCACTTATGGATTTTTTGCATGGCTGCTAATGCATTTAGAAAATATGCGTATAAATATATAATATTTGTGTGTGGGGTAGGGGTAAGGTATATGCTGGGGGGTATATTGATTTATTTAGTTAATTATTTATGTGGGAATTTTGCATGATTGGTTTGGTTTGTTTTTGTTTTAGAAACGATGATCCATTCAGTTGTTGCCTTTTTGTGTGTAAATGAGATTAATATAGTGTTTGTATGTGTGGGTGTGTGGTGGTGTGAGTGAGTAGTTTGTTCGTTGTGTAATATACATCATATTATGTACATAAATATACATGGATAATTGCTAATTTCTGTATGGAGTTAGCTGGCACTAGACTTGACTTTAAAATAATAATAAAACTACATACATATTAAATAAATATTCGTCTCAGCTGATACAAGATGAAGCTTAAAGATTCCTCAGTGTGTGTGTGTGTGTATGGGGTAGGGTAGGGTGCAGGGTTATATATAGGTATAGTATGTGTACTAGTAGTGTGTGTTTTTGTGTGTGGGTTGAACGCTTTTTGGTTCTATCGACATGTTTCAGAGTTGTCTAAAATCCAAGTGACACGCACATTCCGATGGATTTTCTTTTCTTTTAGCAACATTTAATACAGGTATGTATGAGTTTTTGTGGGCGTGGCTGAGTTACAACTAATTCGTAATTAATCGCAGTTACAGGCTAGACACAGAACATTTTCAGCGGTACGACAAGTGCGAGAAAGCTGTTACATATCGAGTGTATATATATACACCATTATATATACATATACATATATGTATGTATGCATGTATAAGCTAGCCAAATTCTTTCGCGTTGCAGTTAAGACGAGGACGACTAACCAACAAACAAATAGAAGAAGATAGCATAGATAGAATGGGTACTAATACACATACATATTACACACAAATGAATGTCTAGGTCAACATATATAGTAGAGAACATTAAATAAAATAATCACAATTTGATGCTGCAGCAAGTTTTGGAAACTTGCAACACAAAACAAAAAAAAAACAAAACTAAAAGCTAAAGCTACATTTCGTTTCGTTTCCGCTTCGTTCGGATCTAGCCGTGCTGGTTGTTGTGTGGGTGTGGGTTTGGGGGTTACGTTATGGTTACGTGTTCTTAACGCCATCGAGCAGTCCCAGCAAAAACATGCAGATCATCGAGATGAAGGTCAGGCCGAACATAACGATGCAAACGGGCCAGCATCAGTCTGTGGCTGCCTTGCGCATTATCTTCCTGGCAAAGCCGATGGCCGTATCTCAGAGAATCTCACAGCAGCGACAGTAGCGTGGCCGTTGTCCGCTGGTCACCGCCGGCGGTGTGCCCGGAGCAAAGTATGCATGCACCTTGATATTTGGTAAATGGTTCTGCAAAACACACAAACAAGACAAGAGCACACTCGTTATGTAGTAATTATATATCTTTCCACGCGTAAGTTCTCTGTGTCCTCTCACCTTCAGCTTGCGTATGGCGGTGCGTGTAATCAGCTGACAGTCGAATAGTTCGATGCGCTGTAGGTTGTGGCACGAAACCAAATGCTCCAGCGTGCGGTCCGTTATCAGGGGACAGTTGTCCAGCTCCAGAACGGACAGTATCTCTGCGGCACAGCTGCCAGTAGTCAAGTGCCGTATGCCATCGTCCGTGATCAGTTCACAGTGCGACAGGGTCTACAGAATTACCAAATTAAATATTTAAAGTATATTGTAGCAATTGAAGAGGGAACCAGGTAGCCATCCTACCAATTTCTCTAGGCCGGGACAGCCTGTGGCAAGATGAGCGAGCGTTAGGTCCGTGATTTGATTGCACTCCTCCAGATCCATGCGCTCCAGATACTTGCAGTTGCGTCCCAGGGCCTGAAACCCAATGTCCGTGAAGTTGCGACACCCGGACACCTCCAGTGTGTTCAGCAGGTGATTGTGCTGCGACAGGGCCATTAGCGAGAGATCAGTTAGGTCCGCACACTTGGACACGCAAAGCTTTTGCAGCTTGGGACACTTGGCGGCCAGCTGGCGCACAGATGAATCGCTTATGGTCTAAAGGAGGGTGGAACACAGAAATCTTAGAAGTATGGTTCAAAGGTAAAGACTGATTCCTGGTGGTAGTCCTACCTCACAGCTGTGCACATTTAGCACCATTATATCGGGACAGTATTTGGCCAGGCACATTATGGCATTGTCGTTGATCTGTTTACAACCTTTGCTGCTGAATTTTCGCAGCTTGACACAGCCGCGGGCCAGCGCCTCGACCCCGTTCTCAGATATCAGATGACACCACGACACATTGATCTCCATGAGGTTCTGCAATGTAAGAAATTAGTTGACCCATTAGTATGGTTTGCCAGACACTCGTTTCGAATTGTTAAGTGGAATAGGCTTACGGGACAGCCATCGGATAGATATTTGAGGCTATTATCTGTTATGTTGGAGCAAGAGTCCAAATTAATGGCCGTTAGTTTGGTGCAATATCTGCTGATGGACTGTGTGGATATATCCGTTATCTTCTTGCACTCCGACAGATCCAGATGTTCGATGTTGTGGCAGTGATTCGCTAGAGTTCTACACAGAATCAATTACCCATGGTTAGAAAGGCATCAAAGGGAGGGGAATTGTGGGCATGGACTCTTACCTCACAGACTGATCTCCCAACGATTGACAGCCACGCAGCGACAGGGACTTGAGAAAGCCGCGACATCGTTGCGAAATATTCTCAATCACCGGACCCTAAAGGTAGAACAAATTTAATTTAAAGAGATTTAAGAGATTTAATTTAAAGAACGTAGTTTTATCCCCATAATATATACATACATAAAATCATTTACCCTGCGTATGTAATAGTTTGACTGAAGTTTGATGGGGGGAAAACTCACCTCGATATCACGTTGAAAATCAAATAAATTGATTTTCTGCCAACTGGAACCGTCCAGGGCGAGCACATTCCAGTATTTGCACACCTGCAATAAGTGGGGAGTGGGCAGGGACATTCAAATATTCATTAGTACAGGTGGTACCAAAAGAACTCCCGCTCTGTACTCTACAGACCTGTGCACAGCGGCATAGCGAGACCACATCCAAATAGGAGAAAACCCGCAGCAGAACCTCCTTTGGCAGTTGTTTGATTAGCTCATCGTCCAGTTCGGTGGCTCCTAGGAATGTTTGCTGCAAAATGGAGAGTATATGTCAGTTCCACTATATAATGTACATGTACATATATGTATGTATGTATATATTGTATCGTTCTAATTGGATATGTGATGGCTCTGCTGGGGCTCTACAAAATCAATTGACAAAAATTGAGGCGACTTTTTCTTTGATTGGATTGGACCCAAAAACAAAACAACAAATTAATATATAAAATATAATTCTTGGGGAAAACAAATTAATTGATGGAGGAATCAAAAGAGTAGAGCGAGAGAGTTAGACAGAGAGAGAGAGAGATACTGAGAGAAGGGGGTTTTTGGTGGGAGGGTGGCAATGTACAAATGCTTGACCAAGAATGATATAACGACCGCTGAAGGAAATGTCATCGAAGGTGGAAACGAAAATCAATTTGATTTTTTGTTTTTTTTTTTTGGGTTCTTACTGGCTGCTGGGCGTCGTCCGAATCCTGGCCAAGATAACTGTCTGTGCTGATGGCCTCAGACCGCTGGAGCGGCTGCCTCTGCTGCTGATCGTCATCATTGTCAGCCAGGCAGGCGGCATCGGGGGAAGCCGACAGGCTGGACGAGGAACAGTCGCTCATGGCTGAGCCAGAGCCAGAGCCAGAGCCTGAGGCAGAAACAGAGGTGGGGGCAGGTGCTGCACTGACCACCACTGGTGTGGCACTCCCAAAGGTAGCAGAGCGCCAGATGCTGCTGCAGAAGCCGCTGATGAGATTTGTGTGTGTGTTGTTGTTGTGGCTGTGGCTGTTGCTGTTGTTGCCGTTGCCGTTAGTAATGACGCTGATGCTGCTGCTACTGTGACTGTTGCTGTTGTTACCGTTACCACTACCACTACCGTTACCGTTCAGTTGTAAGCTCAAATTATGATTGTGGTTGTTGTTGTTGTTCGCTTCGCCCCGCTCTGCGGATCCACTCCCACTCCCACTGACACTGGTGCTGTTGGTGGAGCTGGCGCCTGTTCCAGTGGTGCTACTGCTGCTGCTGCTACTGCTACTGAAGCTGGCGCTGGCACTGCCGCTGATACTGCTGCTGCCGCTGGGCGCAAACATTGTGGGAGTCTCCTTTGTTTTGCTCGCTCTTATCAGAAAATGACGCTTCTTTCTGCGTCTGTCCTCAGCCGCTGCGCTGCTCTTTCAATTAACTCTTTGGCAGGCGCGCGCGCTCTCTCTCCCACTGAACCGCTTCGTCTTCGCCTGAAGTCTTCGTCGGTAGCCTCGTCGTTTTCGTCTTCGTGTGAATGCACGATTAAAATATTCACAAATTGCGTCTTTGAATCGTTGCTCCCGCGCGCTCTCTTTCTGCCACTCTCCCTGCTTTACCTGCTGTTGCTGTGGATCTTCCTCTCCTCTCTCGCGCAGCTAATTTCGATAATCTTCGTTTTTATTTATTTTTAAACATTCGCAATAGCGTCTCTGCCGCTTCCCTTAATCTCGTCGTTGCACCGGGAACTGTTTTTCGGGATTGTGTGCACGTGAGAAAGAGAACAACAACAAAATTATTAAGAGACTGGGCTTTAAAGGGTCGGATCGGCCTCCCAAGGTTGACAACTTCGGGCCTCACTTGCGCACCGCTCTAATTGAAATGCGCACCCAACTCTGAGAGGCTCCAAAGAGGGACGGAAGCGAAGACTGGCAGTGAGTGGCACTGGCACTGAGAATGCTGGCCCCGCCACGCCCCCTTCCTGACTGTCATTCAACTTAAATGAAAAATCATCAAAGGCAATTGAAAAAGGCAATCGAATCGAACGTGCGACGAATTTGAGTGAAGCGCGAACAAGAAAACAAAGTAGGCCTGATATTCAGATGTAGTTCGACTGCAAGATACCCCTTGGTCGAAGTTGGCTGTACTGTAAATCAAAGGGAACTCTCAATTTTAATCAAAAGGAAACTGTCCACCAAGTAAACATCCACGGTATTGCCTCCTCGGAAGGTCACAAACCCCTTATTTAATTTTGATTACTCCTTATTGGGGCATCTAAATACGGGCAAGTTTCTATTGTTCTTTTCATTGTAAATTTCACAATAATTACAAAAAAAAAAGTGTAAATATATGTATATTGTTATTAAATTGTTGCTTATACGAGCATACATACATATGTACGAGCATCGAATAAAGCGATTGCCCCAAGGTCCAATGAATTATTGATTGCTGCGGGGGATCTTGAACCTAAATGGAAGTTGACACATTTTCATATCATATTCAAGGGGCGAGAGAATTAGTTTATCAAAACAAGCGAAACCATTAATAATATTTGGTGTGTGTGTGTGTGTGTGGTGTGTTCTGTTTGTGTGTGTGTGTGTGTGGGGGCAGAAAGAACTCTTAATGTGTCCCCCGGGAATGCAATCAGAGCAATTTCAAGAAGGAACAATTGAGATTCATGGAACACAAGCGATACGTTAGGCGGCATATGCACACCCAAGTACAGTGGTCACTCACAAATGTCAACCCTATTCCCCCCATACAGCTCCAAAGGGGTTTCGGATTCCGAGTGGTCAATTTTATATGGATTTAATATCAGACCAGGCTTATAAAATAGTTATAGTTGTTGGAAAAGTTTATGTAAGTTGTCTTTTCGGAGACACCGTCGTAGTTCAAATTCAATTCGCTTTGAGTGATAGAAGTGACAAGTGCAAGGCATTTCAGTTGATTGTTGTATTTTGCATGCTTTATTATTTATTTGATCATGCAACACATGGCGTATACGTAACACACACACACATACACAAATACATACCAAAGCTTACATGCGAAAGCTCGATAATAAAACAGCTGACAAACGATGAGGAAGAACTGTGTGGGAAAGGAAGAGTTAGTTAGATGCGTGTCAAAGGCTTTGCATTTGAAAAACGGTATACAAATTTAAAATTCCCGTTCAGGCATTTCCCTTGCTTAGTGACCTCGAAAAATAAAAGGTAACAACGAACACCCACACACCCACAGTCATACCAATAGAGCCACATGACAACCAGTAGTTCTCTGCTGCTGCGGCTGTTGCTGCTGGCTGCATTTTATATAAGCCATGGCCAAAGTCAGTTGGACAGACACCACCAAAAGTTGAACTGTTGTGGCTGCCATCGATAGCGATGGACAAGCTTTGTTCTGTTCTACATATCTACAACAATACATTATGTATACTTCACTGTACAATGCACATACATATGGCTTATATATGCAACTGCAGCAACAAGGTCAGCGAGAAAAGCAGTAAACTGGGTCACCCCTCCGAATTGGGTTGCATTTAACGTTTGTTGCTATTGTGTCCGATGCTTCAGATAAATATAGCACATGGTTGGGTACATGCTCTACAAAACCTTATCGCCAGGCACAACAACAAGGGGAAAACAGCTGACACAAACACACCAAAAACAGACGAAACAGCAGAAAAACAGCAAACGAAGTGCAAAAAAAAAAACTTTAAACGGTATTTGCAACAGCAGCAATACACAGAACACACACACACACACTAACTATACACATACAAAAAAAAAATATCCACAATTTACAACAATATACCATTTGTTTATACTTTCTGCTTCCGCTGAGTTATTATCGCATTTAATTGCATTGAACGTCCCAGACTGTGCAAGAATGGATTTTTAATGGTTTTTCGTGCAGTTTTCGATTTTGTTTCGGCCTGGCCTGGAAAAATAATTGAACGAACACCAACAGAAAACAGAACTAGGGGTAAATGCAGAGGCGCGCGAGACACTAGGGCTAAGACAAGACACAGCGAAAGCGAGCCAACATCGATGAAAACAGAGCGCCGAATGGGGAGTGTGAAACTGAATGGCATCAAGATTGAGCTCGAGAGAGCAAAGTGCAGAAGAACAGCTGAACAACACGGTTTGCTGCTCTCCGACAAATGACTGCATACAGAGGGCCCACAAAGAGAGCGAGCCAACCAGCCTCGTCAGCTGCTGCGTGTGCGGCAAGAGCGGGTGGCGGGTGGCGTCTTTTGGGGCGGTGCAATGCACCCACGCCAATAAAAGACATAAAATAAAAGCAAAAAAAAAAAACAAACAAAGTCTCAATGAGAACGAGTCTGTTTGAGGTGTGTGTGTGTGTGTGTGTGTGGAGAGAAGAGAGGGACCACAGGCAGAGTTCAAGCTAAAGGCATGAGGATTGTTGTATGCCCTTTGCAAAAGGACTTTCAACTTTCAACTGCGGTGACAACAGTTAAATAAATTTCCGTACATTAATTGTGTGTCTGCTCAAAGCATCTTGAACTTAGGTGGTTGGCAAAGGGGGTGGAGAACAGTTCTAGATGCTAATCTATTTTTGCTACCCATTCCATTCAAATTAGAACAAAAAGAAGTCCAAAACTCTTTTACTAAAGGGTATCTATGCATAAGAATCGGCCGCCTCTCTCTCTCCCTCTCTATCATTACTCTCACTCTCTTGCGCTTGCAATGCTTAAGCTGTTGCAGTGCTGCCAGACCTCTGCAGCAACATGCACCCGTCAGCTGTTTATCTTAACGAGCAATCTGTTTACTTTCGTTTGTTATTGGTTTTCCGCTTCGCTTCGAGGCTAGATAAGCTTTTGGCCATTGCGAATCGCTATAAGCTCCAAATGAATAAGTGTTTCATTCCATCGGTTAAACCATACGAGAACGCAATTTAAACCAGTTAACTACCTCACCAACTGGGTTGCGGACACCCACCCACCCCTCTCTCTCTATCCTTGTCAATTAACACTAGTCTAACCATTTCGGCGACGCACTCTCCCCCCCTTCCCTGTTTGCTTATCTACACTGTAGTACATATTGCACTTGGCTTGGAGCAGAGTTTCTTCGGAACGAAAGTCGCCATTCCGTCAATGGTCATTATCTGAGAGGGGATGGGGCTGGGAGGATGGCGAGTTTTCAGTGAGTTTATTGCACTTTTGCCTGGAGCCATCGGGCGGGCTGGGGGTGTGGGCACATTAGCCACTTACACTTTTACATTCTTTGTAAACTCCTTTCCTTGTCCTTGTCGTCCCGACAACAAAGGCGATGACTCCTGCTGGTTCTGCTTCTCCCACGGTTGATGAGGCTGACTTCAAAGCGTGCCCAGGAAACAAAGAGACAACCTCTAGTAGTTGGGGTTAAGAGGAGAGGGCGAAACAGGAATCTGTTTACTGACAAACAGTCTGAAGGAGGAGGAGCGAAAGAGAGCAAATACACAAATGGCATGCCAGGAAGCCAGTCAGTGTAGGTGCGGGAGGTGCGGGCGCCCTAAGCTGGAGCAAGACAAAGTAGAGGAAATCCCCCTGCGTAATACAAATACCACACACCCAAGCAAACCCATTCTTGCACTCCCACGTTGCAAGCCGCAGAGCATTAATTGCAGTTGTTCTTGAAGGGGTTTATACGCATATACATGTACAAATTAAATACATAACTAAACCTGATTCACTTGGTTATATTAAAGAGTAGTGCAAAGAGGGTTGGGGGGTGCAGAGTACTCTCAAGTGGTTTACTTACATCGAATCGATGAGGATTGCGTCCAGAATTGGTCATTTTATGCCTTGCGATTTTAAAAATCAAGAAATGCAGCAGCTCACTCTCTCTCCCCTCCGCAGAAATTATATTCTCTGTTGGCCGGCTCTCCTCTGCTCTGTCTCTCTCTCTCTCCCACACGCGCACACAGACACAGCTTTGCTTTGGGCTCTTTGTGTGCTTATATGCGTGTGTGTGTGTTGTGAGCAGGAAATTATGCGTCGCTGTTATTGTTGTTCTTCTTCTTCGTCTTCTTGTTGTGATTACTGTTCTTGCTTTGGGTAGTTCTTTGTTCTTTTTTTTTATTAATTGAAGTTCCTGCTGCTGCTGTCTTTGCATCTGCTGCTGCGTGCGTTACACTTCTATCACATCACAATCACAACAACAACTGCATTCGCTGCAGTTTTTCGCCATTAAAAATATATCAACCTGCAACTTTATTGGCCAATCCGCTGCTTGAAGCGTAAATAATTTTTTCTCTTTCAGGCATTTTTTTCGCATCTCCCCTGCACTTGTTGCTGCTCGTTTTTACTGCCTTTCAAACTGTTAATTTTTATGTAATTGCAATTTTTTCCTCGCTTTTAAATGAAACTGCAGTTGCCAGTGCACTGGTAGTACCTTCTAGAGGTGTCAAACCATCGAGGGCACTATCGATAGTATCGATATTTTACCGATGGCCTCTACTATCGACGGTTTTGAGACTATCATGATAGTATCGAGCTACAGTCGTTGCGCTTTTGATATGTTTGGATTGGCTGCTATAAAATACCAAGATACAACAGGTGAACAAATCAACAGGTGGCATCTAATTTTTACAATCGACAAGTTCCTAAAAGGTTTCAATGGTTTTTTAATAATTATTTGAGCCCGATACTATCACGATAGTATCGATTGTTTTTTTCAAAACATTCAACGTTGATATTTCTCGATTTTGATATTCCGTTTAATATTACTAGCTAGCTGGGACTCTCAGCCGTTAACAATTAATTTTATCCAATTCCTCAATAAATTTTGTTCAGGATTGGCTATTTCTCAGAAGTTATTTTTATTGGATTATTTACATAACAAGGTTCAAACAAAAACGGCCAAAGCATAAAACGTAAATGTTGACTAAGTGTTGCTGGTTAACCAAGTTTCTTCTATGCGTATGGACTTTTGTATACCTTATTTCTTTTAATTGATGCTAATTTTGTTGTTCCAATTGACACCATTGGATTAACATTATCTTAGTGATTTGTATGTTTGTGTTTTATGTATACATTTATCCCGGTCCTGATACCTATTATTGGAACCCGTGAGCTGCAAAACTTTTTTAATATCTTTAGAACAGAGACGGAATAGTTTTTGCATTAATTGGAGCCTGAAAATTCAAACAATATCTCAAGTCCATAATATCCATTTTCCCAAGGTATGCAGATTGTTGCTCATTCCGTGCCAAAGTTGCACAACAATGCTGCTACTTCATTTCCCCATGTTGCTGAAATTTTTCCCATACAAATCAAATTATCATACGGGAACGCGTATGGAATGACGCAACAATGAATCTTTATGGTAACTACACATTTGCTACAAATTAACAACATATTCATGTAAATTTCGACAGCGACCTCTAGCAAGGGGAAAAAATTTTGCTGTCTTCAAAAATACGGGAATCAAGAAAATACCCAAAAATACTACAAAAAAATTATCTAAAAATGCAAGGTTTGGTGTGAACAAATAAACAATCAATGAATAATAATAATAACTTTTGTAAATTCTTCTTGTCCATCTTTTCTCTTTGACTTTTTAGTGCAAATATTACCACGATATCTTTCATCTGCACTGTGTTCATATTATGCAAGTTTAGCCTTTTTACACTGGGGGCTCTCCTTCGCCGATGACAAAAAAAGAAAAAAAAGCTTTTATTGGGGGACGGCCCTTTTTTTTTTTTTTTTTTTTTTTTTGAAAAAAAAAAATTTAAAACAACAAAAAACAACACAACCGGAAAAAAAAAAAAAAAAAAATATTTTTTTTTTTTTTTTTTTTTTTTTTTTTTTTTTTTTTTTTGTTTTTTTTTTTTTTTTTTTTTTAACCCAAACCCCCCCCCCCCCCCCCCCCCCCCCTCCTTTTGGGGCGCCGGGGGACCTTAAAATTTTTATTAATTTAATTTTTTTTTTTTTTTTTTTTTTTTTTTTTTTTTTTTTTTTTTTTTTTTTTTTTTTTTTTTTTTTTTTTTTTTTTTTTTTTTTTTTTTTTTTTTTTTTTTTTTTTTTTTTTTTTTTTTTTTTTTTTGTTTGATACCCAAAAAAAAAAAAAACCAAAAAAAACCAAAACACCCCCCACCCCCCCCCCCCCCCCCCCCCCCCCCCCCCCCCCCCCCCCCCCCCCTCCTCCCCCCCCCCCCCCCCCCCCCCCCCCCCCCCCCCCCCCCCCTAACATAAAAGTCGTGCGTAAATTGAAATGCCAACTGGTCGACAATGGGTTAATGTTGGGGGGGTTTTTTTTATAATTAATCGCTAAAGCGAATTGAGTTGCACGCCTACCAATCTGCAATAACTAGATGCTTCAGTTTGGTTTTTTTTTTATATTTTAAGATGCTTTTACGTCAGTTGACGGATGCGACGTGTAGAGGGGGTTTAAGTGGGTTAAGTTCGTTCGCTCGCATATCGGTATATTTTAGTACTAAATTTCGTAAGAAGAAGGGTCCAAATTAAAAAGAATAACGATAATATAATAAAAATAAGAAAACAACAAAGGAAGCACGATGTGGCCGCTTGTTATGGCCGTCCTCAGGCGCAATGCCGTTTACATAACTCTGCCCATTGCCGGCGTGGTGGGCTTCATTGGCTATAATCTTGAGAGCCTGCTGTCTGACAAATATACTCCATACAGTCGTAAGTGTGCCTACAGAACTTTCTAGTTGATCTTTAATACCATTCTTTTGCAGCCTCAATTCAGGAAGTGCGAGCCAAACGCTTGACCGACGAGAGTCTAACATCGAACGCCACCAATGTGGAAAAGCTGCGGCTCGACAGCTCTGTTCTGGAGCGGAATCTGTCGCCTTCCTTGCAGCCTAAGGCTTGATTTAATTGTATTAATCTGTAAATATTAGCTAAAATTAAAAAAGTTGACAAAATAGAAGCAAAAAATGTTGTCAACGACATCCCTTGCGGGGATCGAACCCGCGACCTTTGGATTAGAAGTCCAACGCGCTATCCTCTGCGCCAAAGGGACAGGTGGTGGACGCTGTGCAAATGACTCACTCGAACCCAGTGGAGTTTCGGCATCTGCAATCACGATAAAATAACTCAAACCCTATATAATTGCTTGATTATAAATCTAATCATCAATTAATACTCGTTTGGAGAGTATGCTGAATGCTCTTGGCAGTTTTCGTTCTAAGTGTAGAACCTTCGCCGGTGGTGAAATGTTCCTTAGACCGGACTGAATACATCGCCTCGGTGGCGCAGTTGGCAGCGCGTAAGTCTCATAATCTTAAGGTCGTGAGTTCGAGCCTCACCCGGGGCATGTAACTTTTTTGTGTATTTTTCTTGCCTTTTCAATATTAATAAATCTTTTTTGGGTGTATCTGGTTTTCATTTCGCCTTTTTACATTTTCGTTTTTTTTTTTTTATTTTTAAGACAGTGCAGACTTTAACATAAACTTAATTAAGTGCTAATGGATCGGGTGGAATATCAATGTGGTTTACTTTCCCATGCGCTGAATGGACCATTCCTGCTGGCAGAGCGGACACCGGTTGTTCTGCTTGACCCACAGCGACATGCAGCAGTGGTGGAACGAGTGGTTGCATTCGCCCCACACCACCACACAGTCCTGGCGTCCCATCACATCTCGCTTGTTATCCGCCTGGCAGCGCAGACACGAATCTGGAAGAGAGGGCAGGGCATACGTTAGCAATTGACGACAATAATGAAGAGCAAACGGTAAGAGTATAGGCGTGAACTGGTCTTGAAGTGCACTTGGCAATGTCAGAGCCGCGCGTCAAATGCGACACCAGCGACATTGGGCGACAATTAGCCGAATGCTGGCCTGATCTTTGCCCATGACGCAAGCAGTAAACGCTTCCATCAATCACATTATGATGCAAAATTGTCCTCAAGCCCTTTTCTATTTGCAGTTTATTTATAGGGTGTTAAAAACCCTTTCAGCCAACAAAGTTTGCTTTACACTGTTATGTAAAAGCATTAGTCTGTAGCCTATCAAAATTCATGTTAATATCGACAATTACCTCAAATGGCAGTCATTTGATATGCACGATTCCGCCCGAGTCGCACTTCATTCAAAAAATATTCACACCAAAAAACTGCAAGAACTTTCATTCAACAAAAAGTGCAACGATCATAAATCATAAATTCACTCAACCCATGGGGATAGTGGGGGCCATCGAGCCTTTACCCCGGATTTTTGGGTGGGTTTCGTGGGAGAGGTCACTGACTCAGCGGCCCAAATTTGGGAACGCATCGTTTTACACTGCCCAAAAATGATTTCTCAGAAACAGCTACGAAATTTCGCCAAGTCAATGCAAAAATGCAATTCAATCATTGCGTCTGTGTGTGTGTGTGTGGATCGGTCATCACCTGAGCCGCTTGAGAGACCCGCTGCTGGCGGTGCTGCTGGTGCAGGTGTTGGTGTTCACATTTCGAAATATGAGCGCGTTGGCAGAAACTTTACAATAAAATCCATTCGAAAAAAAACGGGCTAAATGCGTCGTCGTCGTGGTTTTTGTTGTTGTTGTCGTTGGACATGACGTGAGGCATCAAGTATACGCCGCTGTGGCTGCCGGTGCATCGTTGAATGCTGCTGACTAGGGCAGAAAGAAAACACAAAATACTATATCCGGACGGGGGGGAGTCGACCATCAGACACCCGCTACCCTGATTCGTTTATATTTGTTTATAAGGGGAAAAAGAGGTGTCCTTGTGGGTTACCTTTCAATTTAGATAACACAAACAGCTCTTCTAACTGTGAGAATTAAATCATATCTTAACGGGATGCCTGCCCATGCCCATACACCCCTTGTGCACCACATACTCGTTCGTAAACAGCTTATTAAGTACAAGACAAGGGAAATGTGAATACTTCGATGAGTCAAAGAATTATGTTTTGTGGTGTGAAAAATTACCATTCGATTTCCCTGATTCATGTTTTTGCATAATTTTGTATTTTTTTGTATTTGCCTTTGTTAGTTGTAATTGAAAACCGAACGACAACAGGAAATTGTTAACATATTTCCAAGAATTTCGCTTCGTTTTTTTGTTGTTGTTTTATTAATTTTTGTTTTTGTGCAAAATGCAATAAGAAGTCAATAGCCGTTTGGGAGGGGGTGGGCAGGAGGAGCAGGGCTCTAATCGAGGCTGAAATGCGTTCTTTAAATAAATTATTGCTTATGTGGGCGGTAATTTAAATGGGATGGGATGGGGATGTACCTTTGAATGAGGTTAAAGCAAGAGGTTACAATATCAGCTAATTGCGCCGTTCATTTGGGATTTTCGAAATAATTAAAATTTAGATTTAAAATTCCGATTTAAGAGTATCCGACGAACTAGTTACGCTTTTCACAGCTATCATATATATGTATGTTTATATCAATATATTTATTATAAGCTGTAAATCCTTCGATCAAAGCTACTGTTACAGTTTAGAGTACCCGCTGTCAGGGTATGCAAATGGCTAATCATATTTGGATTGATATTTAATAGCCAAAATTGGTGGCAAATCGGCCAGCAGATCGGTTAACTCTGACCAACAGTCGCAACCAAGTTCCAGTGATCATTCCGTGAAAATGCGCTCGAGCCTGTTAATATTGTTGGTCGCCCTGCTCCAAGGAACGAGTGTGAGTAAGTTCAAAGCCAGATGGAAGCCAGCCGCTCAATGCCGCTTCTTCTTGCAGGCCACACGCCTGCTGAAGTTCACCAACGTCAAGTGCCAGGACCTGCCCACAACGGCAGGACTGACCAGATACGAGTACTGCCGCCTGAAGGTGGTGCGACGCAACCATGTGGAGCTCTCGCTGAAGGTCAGCCTGTTGCAGCTGCCTGTACGCAATCTGACCACGCGACTGCAGTGCTTCCAGCGGCGCGACGGCTACCGCCCCTTCATGTACAACGTCCTCTTCGATTTCTGCAAGCTGATGGATGGCAGAAGACGCGAGCTCTCCTTCGAGCGCTTCGTCTTCGATGCGATCAGCAAGCACAGCAACTTCAATCACTCCTGCCCCTGGAAGGAGGTGGGTTCCGTTTGGGGGGGTGTGGTGTCTGGTAGCCCCAGCTAATACTCGTCTCTTTCCCCCCCTTCGCCATTAGAACCACATGACTGTGGAGAAGTTTGCCCTGGATCCAACGCAAATAAATATGCCATTCCCTGCGGGAGTCTACCGTTTGGATTTCACCTTTTACGCGTACGGCATACCACGCACATTGACACAGGTGTTTTTCGAGAAGACCGACTGAAACACAGTTCTTCAGAGCTTCAACCCAGATCGTAATGAACAATACATATGTGTTTTCAGTGTCTGGTTCAATTTTAATGGGTACCTGTACCTGCATCTGTGCCCCCTCTCTTTGCTTTCGTCAGAAGAAAAAATATTAATTGCGCAAGAGGAAATTTCTAGCAAATAATCTTGAAAAAAAAAAACATTTTACATGCGAGTATTGTGCATTATATATCGTTCAATTAAATATCATACATATGTGTGTCTACTCCCAGTTTTATTCATTGATTTGTTTATTCCCTGTTTAGTTATAAATGTGCTTCAATGTGGAAGTCAATCAAGTCAATAAACAATAATAACGATCGTCTAGATGGCTCTCTACGATGGAATATTTTTTAGAGGGCTCGTTGTTCAGTGGGCCTGTTCCCCTGGGACAGTGGAACAGTTAGGCCCAAAAAATACAAAGTAGAAATAGTGAAAATATTTCTGAACGAAAATTACTCTAATTTAATAGTTTTAATATCTAAATTTCCCACGAAAATCCTTCATTTGCATAAATATATAAATATGAATCATGTAGAAAAGCCCACAGTACAGCCAGTGATGGGATCTCTACTGCGTCGTTGGAAATCTTTGAATTGATTTATTCATTTTACTCTTTGCCAATTGCGATCGTTCAGATTGTAGTTGTAGGGCCTGGCCTGGCCTCCTCCAGGGGGTGTGTCATGGCAAGTGGTATTTATACTATAAAGAAGAGATACTGTATACATATCTATAGAGAAACAGCCAGACGATAGACGGATAGTTGAGCCCCAAACGGGTTAATTACAAAATGTTTACTGTCAGATCACACGAATCACAGACAAACGAAACGTGACAATGACGCGTTCAGCACCCAATACCACAGCTCAAATCCCAAATACCGCAGCTCCAAGCCCCAATACCAGGTGACTCTCTGGTGACAAGCAAGGCTGCAGGTCATTACACAATCAAATAACTGCAAAATAGCTGCACCAAAAGTCTGAGACTTTGATTAAATTACCGAATAACCAATTAATACAAAGATCATACAAAATATCATTTAACAAAATAATTCCTTTAAATTTGTGATGTTTTTACCAGTAAAGTCTCTGTCTGAAATGCAAGCAGAATCTTCTTCCAGTGATAAATTCAAAAGATTTCCATTCCGATTCCGGAATCCGAGTGCATATACCCGACCGCACATATAGAGCCACAGTTGGCCTGGCCGACTGTCTGGTAAACCTGTTCGACGGGCATTGAGATATTTTATTTGATTTTGTTCAATGACCACAAGTCGGCCGATACATTCCGACAGTTCGTAGTACATTAAAATTCCAGTTTGCTGCACCTGACCAGACCGGACGCCGTCTGGGGATAGCTCTGTGGGTAGGTGAATCGGATCTAATCGAGTCTGGCGCGGTGTATGCAAATGTGCCGCCGCAGCCCAACCCCGGCTGCGCCCCCGTTGTTATCCAAGTTCAAGGTTAACGGGTGCAACGGATGTCTGTCTGGGATCGGGAGCTAAATTTAGCCTGGCAAGTGCTCGCCAGATCTCGCACATGTGACCAGAGTTCTCGCGCCCATTTGGCCGGGGGGCTCCAACGCCCCAACACCCCAACACCCCAATGATTATTTTATCGGGCCGATAATATGTCGCTGTGTCTCCTATCTATCGATGACACCGCCGCCCCCTTAAGGCCCGCGCGTCACATGTTTTCTTGGAGTTCTCTGCGGTTTGGCGGGCAGTTCCTCGTTTCACGTATCACGTTGCACGATTCGTTCTGGTTACTTATCTGCTGCCGTTGCCGTTGCCGCTGCTCCCCGCTCTCCCGCACACAACTCGTTTTCTGTTCGTCTGTGTGGCTGTAACGGTCTCGCTTACGTGACGTCACGCACGGGGGCTTGTCGCCCCAGCAGCAGGCCGCCAAAAGGCGCCAACAAACAGCGGAACGAACGTGCCCCCTAAAACCAGCTGCGCTGTGCGCTCTTTGCTGCTGCTGCTGCGCTAAGCGGGCGCTCTCTTAAGTGCATGCATCCTCAGCAGCAGACAGAGAGTGGAGAGAGCAAAAGAGAACCAGACCGGAGAGATATCATTGCTGGTGTCTATGCATCCAAGGTGCATTTGCGAGTGAGGTGAGGGAGGAGTCTGCATGGAAATGTACTCTGATCGTGGAAATTTTGACAGTGCGACTTTTTTCACTCGACAGCGTATTTCTGTGGAAAGTCACACATGTGACCAAGATCGAGGTGTGAATGTTAGTGGGTAACTGTTAAAGTCACGCTCTCCCCAAGGGACGCTCGGCGAAAGGAGTGGGAACAAATTAACAAGCTGTAGATTATGATGGGATAATACAATGGAAACATTACAATGGAAGTACTTCACATGTGGTAGATGTTCCCCAGTGTGATTAGATCATCCGAGAACTGAGTGATTAGATATTTGGGAATAAATTTCATAAGCGTGAATGATCACTGAACCGATTCCCCATGGCTCCTTGCCTTGTTTATGTCTTGATCAGCCTTCTACCAATCCCTCTCATTAAAGAATTCTCAATATTTTTCAAGGTTGTCCAAGTGCAGCTAACCCAGTGACCAAGTTGGCCGCATCTGCATCACGTGGGGAGTGGGGGGAGGGCACAGATCTCGAGAACATTTCTGCAACGTTCGCTGTATATTTGCGCAGATAACACACCTATGCATTGGGGGGCTTGCAAGTGGTAGAACCCTGCATTATACACGATCCACCAGAGACCGAGAGCGACCCCACCATGCGCGAAGATCAGCGAACGAAAACGAGAGACACAGACGGGCGAATACTGTGCAAATATTGAAATACTCGTATATTACATATGGGGCTGGGGGCTCATTGAATGCCAGAATCGATGGGCCCCGACCCCAGAAGAGAGACGAAGAGAGTGAAGTGAATCATGTGGCCGTTGCGGACACATGACAGTGTGGAGGCGCCCCACAAAGTGAACGGAAAATTTTTGTGATTGGTTGAGTTTGTGTTGTTTCTTCTGCTTTTGAGTCATTTCTGAAATGTTTGCACCCTGCATTTGGACGCCGTATCCATGGAATTCTGGGGTGTGCGTGTCAGTGGTCTGGTCTGGTAAATTTCCATTAAAATTTTCCATTGGTTTTAAATATAGGATACGCGCACAGGCGCCTCCACCTCCTGGGGAGGGGAGAATGTGCATACATACGTACATACATACATATATTCGAGTGCATTGTCTCGCATTGTCTGCGGATAGCGAAAGTTGTTTCGTTTGTATCTTAATTCGCTTTCTGCTCTTTTTTTGTTTGCCCCAAAATAAGATCCAGAAACCCCAATTCCGATCCCGATCCCGAACCCGTTGACCTTGGGCAAGTTTTTTGGCACGCTTTACATAAGCAATGGAGCGGTGTGGAGTTTTGCCCAAAGGGTGTCATATAGCAGCACCAGCAGATAAGCTACCCCACCTCCAGGTGTCCCGTTATAATTCCTTGAAATTGTGACTGCAAGTTTTGGATTCTTTTTCAGTCGAAATTGAAGACATTCAAACGTTAGATTGAAAATGAAAGTCCAAGCTATGGCAATAGTATGGCAATCCCATCTGGCCAGAACTACTTTCAGGCTGTGCCCAACGCGTGACATTCATTCGACGTGACTCTGGGCAAACAGTCAAAATCTCCCATCACATATGTATGTACCCCTTAATGGCAGTGACACTGCACTGGCACCTGCCCTGATCATTGCACTGTCTGGTGTCTGGTGGCTGGGTTTGTTTGCTTTGTCTCGTTGCTAGCTGGAAGCTGAAAGCTAAAAGCTGGAAGGTGGCTTTCCCTATGCCATCTGGAAGTTAATGTCACTCGTAATGGCCGTGTAATTGCCCAGTTAACTGCAACTCTAACTGCCTTTTGTAATCGTAATACTCGTAATCCCTGTCCGCACGACAGAGTAATTTTAATTTACAATTTACGGCATTATCTGTTTGTATTTTTTAGGGTTTTGTTTCTGTAGCTTAAAATGTAATAAACAACTATGCAAGATTTATTGGGACTACTTAATACTACGCTTCTATTACACTGTCAAAGCGGTGTTAGAGCCAATGCATATTAAAAGAAAAAAAAAGAAGAAAAATACACAAAAAAAGTTACATGCCCCGGGTGAGGCTCGAACTCACGACCTTAAGATTATGAGACTTACGCGCTGCCAACTGCGCCACCGAGGCTATGTTCTTAGCGTCGACCAAGTGTCTACTTCACAGTAGGCCACGTGGCGTATGGCTGTACGGGACTGGGACTGCATTTCGCATGGACTTTTGTTGTTGCACAAAACAATGGTATGATATCGAAATGACTTGCCTCTGCCCTTCACCGAACATTTTTGCACGTAAATCAAGGTTGTGGAATAATATTATTTCTCGCATATTCGTTCAATATTTGTGCATTAATTGTAAAATAAAAGGTTGCATTCGAGACTGTTTAAATACTAGTAATTGGAATTGCGTTTTGGAATGCTGTCACAAACGACGTTGTTTTCTTAACCGATTTGAATACACGACTAAAGGATAAGAATGGGCAATCTATGAAAGAATATTCGTACTGGGATGTGTAGATTTACTAGTATGGAGAGAGAGAGCACCTCGTGGTGCTTTCACAGCAGCATGTTAATTAGCATGCAGACTACCAGACAGTTATACAACTCTGACCAAATCTGACCTAATACATGCCCCCTCCCCCCATCTATCGAATTCTTTTTTTACCTTTTCAGGAATGTGCATATTCATGAAGCCGTTTAAAAATACATATCTCGTCTTGCTCGTAATCAATTAAAGCTGCCGAAACCTGAAAGAGACCGTGTTTAAGTATTTTAATCTATGCATACTTGATATATACACACACACACACATACACACGTAGACTGGATGCATATGGGTGTGGGTCTGGTGGCTATGACTAATTAGTCAATGTTAGGCGGCAGTCAACGTAGAGTTGTAGCTTGTATTAACGTCAGAAACTTTGCAAAGTTCCGCTGATCGACGGCGGGGAGTCGGCATGACCTTGAGTGAAGGGCACTGGTTTGCCATTTAGCCATGATTGCTGTTACCTGTACAATAAACACGACTGTAGGCAGACAATCGTGCACGCACACTCGCACATTTCCCTGTCTCTGTTTGTGTCTCTCTCTCTCTCTCTCTCTCTCTGAGAGCAATACAACAAAAACAGGTCTCATGTGCACACGTGTTTGCTGTTGTACTAGGTAAGCACTTCCCATTGAAAATTAGCCGCCTCAACAGCAGCAGTAGTACATATATATAAATAGAAAGCAAAAGTCAAATTCTAATGATTAGTTAGCACAAAAAACGGAAATAAGGAAATAAGATTGTATTAATGACCGAAGTTGTTGATACACTTGCAGATCGATCTTTCATGGTTGCCATATTACGTGACAAACCAAATGAAAATAAAGATTTTCTAATTTTTTTGGGATTATCTTATTTGTTACCGTATATGGCATTGCAAATGATTTCATGTGTGCGTTGCAAACGCCTGATTTGAATCATCATACCCTCTTCCAAAGTTAAAACAAAATCTTTCCCGCTCTGAACTGGGGGGCAGGCAGCGATCAATTTAGATTTGGTCAATGACTGGAAAGTTGAAAGTACAGACCGTGCATCGATTAGAGCACCCACCTCAGTTCTGCAAATCGCAATGTTCGTCATAAGCCTCTAATCAGCAAATCAAATTGTAAACGTTCTTCAGAGGTGGAATTTACCCTAATGGAGGTGGTAGGTGAGTGGGGGGACATATTCATTATTTATGGCATACACTGTGGGAGCTTTGTGTTTGTGTGTGTGTGTTCGTTTGCACTTTTCTGTGTATTAGTTGGAGGCTCGTCTGGGTCTTGCCAAAAGCAACAACGTCACCAGTTTACCACATATGAATATCTGTGCATACATATGTAAAAGCATTATAGCCAAATGCATACATATACAAACATATGCATGTACTTAACTGTGGGGCGCGTGATGAGAGACTAAGGCAGACAGAGATAGAGAGACAGAGACAGAGCGCATCACATGCTGAATTTTATTTTTTGTATTTAATTTAAATGTTATTTTCTTTTTTGATTTGATATCTGCTCTTATTCATTTTGTAACACTTCGTCTGAATGCTAATTTTAGCATTTTGGCAAAAAAAAAGAGAGGGAGAGAGAGCAGGAACAAGAGAGCGTAAAACAGATCACGAGAGCGTCACAGTGCGCGTGAAACTTTCCTCTCTCTCTCTCTCTGGCGATGGGAGGGAGAATAAATTCGCGTCGTTTGGCGTATTGATGTGACTCCAACACCACCAATTAGATAAATAACCTCTTAATGGGTTTGGTTTCGTAATTTATTTCAATTTGGCCGCAATGCGAAAGGATTGCCGGGCAGGGAGTTCTTTAATTAGCGCATGGAAAAGTTTTACGCACACGCAAGCCAATATTTATGTGAATGTTCTGACCCATGAGCAACATGGAGGAAAAAGAGATCTTTTCTGACGCAATAAATGAGCAATTGCATCAGCAAATTATAGCCCACGACCCAATACGTGCGCCTGCGCAGGCTTCGATTTCGACTCTGCCCCTAGGCTGATGCACTGGCATCAGCATTCAATCCAGCCAGAGAGCAGCTGGTTCATGATACGAGTGGACTGGAACTCCATATTCGGGAATGCTCCATCTTGAAAAAGTGCACCTTGCACTATCTGCGACTGCTTGGTCTCTCTTCTTTCCTCTGTCGCTCTCCCGCGCTGTTGTCAAGCGACCAACCGCCACCGAACCACACTCTCTTCTGGGTACGTGGAGCTGCTGGGGGCTCGTCTCTTTGCCATTTTGTTGTTGTTTCTGTTTTGCTGGTTGCGAGTGTGGCGGACTGCTCTTCTGTTTTTGGCTGTGCTACGCTCTAAAAATAGCCAAAGAGGAAGTGTTTGAGTGAGCGACTGCTTTGGCAGCGATCAAAGAGGCGGGTACAGTAATTACGAGAAAGCTCTATGCTCGTTACGTCATGTTTGAGGAACAGAACTGATGTTGCTATCTAGTTGAAGATAGTACTTAGGTAGAGATTTGCCTTGACTCACGTTTTATTTCACAGTTGAATAATCTCTGGAAGGGCACCACCACCTCAGCCCCTTCCTTGAGTTCTGCATTGTTGCGTCCCTCCTCCAGTAGTTTCTGCATTGTATGATGAGAGTTCATTGCACTTATTTTTTCCACATTTTGCACCACTACGAATTCACGTTTCATAAGCTTTTTCGCCCTTCCTCTCTCCCCCCTCTCTCTCTCTCATTCTCTGTTTTTCCCAGTCTCCTGTCAATCAAGTTTCGAATTAAAAGCGTTTTTTCCACTAATAACCTTCTCTAAAAAACAAAACTTAAGACAAACAAAAATCCATCAAACTGTTGAGGCTTTGTTTTTACTTTTCCTCCACTTCTAGCCGGAGCCTTGAGTCATGCCAAATCGATCAAATCTGCGCCGAGAGAGTCGAGGGCAAATCACGTTCGATATGGAACATACCAAAACAAACACTGAACGCCTGCTCCGCAGAATCGTGATTAAAAACTTTGCGATATGTATAATTGTTCGCTTCATTCCAGGTACAGGGGCGCAGATCCATGGGGGGTTTAGGCAACAACGAAACCCTTTCTTCTCGGCGCTGAAGCAAAGCTCAGAGGTTAGGTAGCGAAAAGGTTCACTCTTTTATTTGAATCTTTGGTCAAATTTCATCAGTAAAAGTTTCGAACCGTCATGGAAACTTGTTTACATTCCCTGTGCGAATGTTTAGCTCTGACTGGCGTCTGTCTGCTTTCGTTATTCATATCTGTATCTACAAATAAACCCAGTGGTACTTGGAATTGGGTCGGTCCCATTGGACGGCAATGTTTATGCCACGTTATGAAATACATAGGGAAAGACGAGCCCCCGCTTTTGGGGGCGCGTTTGTCATTTAAAGCGAAATAAATAAGGCAATTAAAGTGAAACCGAAGATGCGAAGTGGCGCACTTGTCTATATTATACATTATTGGTCTTATGCTTTTCCATCATCCATCATCATTGCGTCAGGCCCCCGAAAAATAAATTGAAGTTGAAAATTAGCAAAGAAACAAACGAAATGCTCCCCAAGGCTTCTACAAATTTGCGCGCTCCTCAAAGTCAACTTAATAATATTCAATTGAAAATATGTGTGTAAATAAAAATCAATTGATAGGCCCTCACACACACGCTCCACAGCATCCAGTGTGGACCATGCATAACCATAACTGAACAGCGGCCAAAACAAATCAATAAAAATATAAGCTAAACGAAATTTCATCGCATCGAACTGGGATTTATCCTTTCTTGGATTTCACCCTCAAATGGGAAAGTTTTACGCTTGGGGAACTAAGGTGATCTTTTCCTCCACACTCCTCCTCCTACACTCGAGCACATGCCCCATTGGATCCACATTGATCTCATCTAATGTGATAGCCAAGAGACCTCATCTTCCTTGTAGGGTACCCATGTATTTGGTGGTGCCACTGGGTCGCCGCTGGCTCTCTCTCTCTCCCTTATCCTATAACTACTACGCCGAACGCGTCATCGCCTACACAGCTTCCGAGAAGCAACAACAGTAATACACCTCCAACTAGGAGGCGTTTATCCAACGCAGACGAGACGGGGAGAGGGACGCAGAGCCAAAGTCAAAACACGGGCGACCCCCATTCATTCATGCCTTCTTTTCGACCTTCGTTCGGCAGCTCACTCTCTGCAGTCTTCAGCGCTTCTCTCTCTCTCTCACTTCAACGCTTGCTCACTCACACACACGTGCAGGCAGAGAGCGGGAGAGAAGAGAGACTCTCTGGCGGCCTGTTTTACCGTTGGGGAACAACCAACACACTGTGCACAAAAGCTCGAACGAGTTGTTGCTGCTTCTGCGGAATCGGTGTGCGCTATATAAGCGTTGCGCATTCGAATCTCGTACTTCAGTGCCACAATAGTGGATACATTTAGTAGTTTGTTCAAAAGGTAATAATGGGGCGCTCTTCCGAGCGATAACTCAAAGATATAAACAGTGAAAACTATCAATTCTACAAGAAACTGAGGACTGAATTTCGATTAAAATATTAAAAATAAAAATAATTACTGAAATGCCGCAAAGTGTAAACTCTTGTTATTAGTTATTTATATAGTTCTGCCCCAACCAGTTCCGGTCGGTCCGTAACCTTATCAAGTTTTAACTTGTCGCGATTGTCAGAAAGTATATGCAAAAAAAGCGAAAAATGAAATAAAACGACAACAAAAAGAAGCACCAAGTCTCTGGTGTGTCTGGCGTCTAGAAAAACCTTTTTTTTATTTCAAATTTATGCGCATTTTTTGCATACTACGTCAAATGCCAGAAAGAGAGGGAAAAAAGTTCCTACAAACCGTTTGAACAATTTCAAATTTTTAATGAACCAGCGGCGAATGGACTGGACGACACTTGTCTTTGTCGTACCAGATTTCGCTTGCAGTGGTACACTTTACGTAATGTGTGTTGGCTCTGTGAAAAAAAAAAAAACAAAAAACCACAAACCAAAAACTAAAGAAAGAAAATGAGAAAAAAAAGGAAAATGCTGTAAGACAACGCGAAAAATCCCATTTGCCAAGGGTAAAATTGCAAATTTGCTAAGAAGAAAAGAAATGTCGAGAAAACTGTTGAGCGATGCGGGCCAGAGCGCGACAGCGGCGGCGACCGCGAAAATTCTTAAATTTAGAACACAAATTTGTTTTTATCGTTAGTTTTTCGGTGGATATGTGTGAGTGTGTACGAGTATGTAAAACCCCACCCAGTGGGGCGCTAGAAATTCCTTGCGAAAAACAAGATGAAATAAATACAAGCGATACGCGACATACGAAATATTTCGGAAGCGTGCAAAAAGTGAAAACAAAGTCCAAAGCGAAAAATCATCCTTCAGTCGCACAGTCGCACGGTCCCAGAGTCTCAGAGTCCGAGTGTGGGCGATGTCTAATTAACTCGAAATTAATTATAATCTGCAACTAAATATGGAAATTGTCGGCAGTCTTTTGTTAATTTCAGCGCTGCTAAGGCAAACAATCTGAGCACAACGACGAGTATTTTGTCAGCACGAAAACGTTTTTTAAAAATAAAATGCCAAAAGATCATGACAAATGCAACAACAACAACAAAATCGCAACGTTGCACTGTTGACAAATGAGAGCAGTCAATACACGGCTGTGTGTGTGTGTGTGTGGGGCCTTAAGAGAGCCAGGTACATTCGGCACGTGAGTCGATTTCCTAAGAGAGCGAGCCCAGGCAAAGAGAGACTCGTTTTGAGCGCGGTCTAAGAGAGCGGCCAGCCAGCACGCTTTGCTCGTGTGTGTACTTGTGGGGGCAATGATTGGGGGCGGGGGGCTCGTGTTGGGACAGATCAATCGTTTAACATATCTCTAGATAGCTGGGCCCCCCGAAAAATAGATATGTGTTATGATTCACCTATACACACCCCACTTCCCACTGCCACCCAAATATAGTTTCAAGGTTAATGGGAATTTTCGAGTCTGCAAATTTTTATTTGCTATTGCGTTTCAGTCGCAAAGCACAACACAAGACACATGGCAATTATTGCAATTGAACTTTGCTTATCAAACTTTGTCCACCATGCCACGCCCCCTTTGCCCCATTAGATTTCTAATCGTTATGTCATTCGCCGATTAATATTCGCGCAGAATTAAAAAAAGCGCCACCCACATTCCGCATAGGCAAAGGCAGAGAAGGGAGTGAAGGGTACGGTTATGATTGAGCGAAAGAGCGTCCAGAGACGACGTCATGACGCCCACACACAGCCGCTGCCAGCGGTCACATGACGCAGAAAAAGAAGAAAATAGAAAAGAAACAAAAAACAAAACAAAAAAACCTAAAGCCAAGAAAATGCTTGACAAAAACCAAACAAACGAAAATATTTCGCTTTTTTTTTGCGCTCGGTGCGCGGTCATTAATTAGCGAGTGGAAAATTTTTTAAAATTTCTCATACATATATGTATATATTTTATGCCGCATGCCAAGAATAAAAGATCATAAATAAATTCAATGAAAGCGCAAAACGTTTACAGTGGGTGCCAAAAAGAAAATAAAAGATCAACAAATGCGTATTTGTGTATCGAGGAAATATTTCAAATCGAATATACTGTTCCGACCCACTGTGACAATGTTGGTCACGCGTGAGATAGCGAAGGACATTCGACCGTTCCGGTGGAAGGTGGAAAGTGGAAAGTGGGTGTGTGCTGGGTGCACAAGGGGGCGTAAATGCTATCAAAGAGCAAACACACATAAATTTCCATCGATAAGAGCTCAGACATCAGATAATTTCGTGCAGTAAAAATGTACTTAACTAGTGCCAGCACTAGTCCTAGTAGCTGATAAAACCCCTCTATTCTATATACATATCTACAGGTGTATTAATTGTTGCATTCTTTCTTTCTTTATTACAGCAAAGACAAAAAGGAACACAGTCCAGAGGAAAGACACTGTTTACCAATTAAAAAAGGGAAAAGGGAAAACAAAACTAAGCCAAAACACTAAGATTGCCCCCACACAGAAGGACGAGCGATTAGTTCAAGTTCAATCATACAGCTGATAAGATGAGCGGACGCGACAACCGAGGCGCCGGCGGTGGCGGTCACCAGCCCCTGAGCAGCGCCATGGGCAAACTCAAGGATAAACTAACCAGAGCAGGTGTAAGTACTAATAGAAATCATCAATGTTGAATCAATGTTGGGGTAGTCACCAAAACCCATTTTGGCGGGGGGGATTTAGACGAAGCGAAACACATACAAAAATCGAATGGAACACCAAGAATTGTGACACGACTCTAACTACACTTGTAGAGCTTCCTTCAATGGGTTTAATAGTAGATAAATATTCGATTTCGATCTTAAATCGAATAATTAAAGTTTCCGTATAGTAGTAGTACACGCCAGGGTATTGGACAACCGAGACTGAAAATGAAGACTGAAAATGAACAACATGAAATAGACACATGACCGATAAGGAGCATGCTGTACCGTCACTGAGTGGACGGTAGCCGTGAAGATGAACCACAAGATGAACCTTTTGTGGTGCGACATTCCACAGTATTGAGAGCAGCATAATCGCAAAAATATATTTTGTGGACGATCTTGGGAATTGTTCGGATTGAAGCGGATTTGATTGGTGGGGGGATAGGCAGGCGTTCGGTTGTTATAATTGCTGCCAAGCCGATGGCGATGTTCATTAATTTGCGATTGTCTGCTGCGAACAGAGACTAATTTGATTGAAACGCTTGAATCTTGAATCTTCTGCAGGACGACCAGGGCTATCGTCGTGTGGAGAGCAATCTGTCCACATCGAATACCGCCACCAGTTTGGACACAATACTACCGGAGGATCCGTTTCCCCTTCCCCAAGCCGCACCCCATAGACATCCACAGCCGTCCCGACAACAGCACCAACAGCTGCGCCTGCTCGAGGACGAACCACCACTGTCCTTTCGGCCCCTGCTCGAGGACGACGACATCAACGAGCCACCCACACAGCCACTGCAGCAGCAACAGCAGCGGACACCAGTGCGTGCCAGCGGCAGCTTGGAGCTGACACCGCTACCCCCACCACCCACGTCACAGGAGATACGCGAGCATCGCGACCGACATCAGCGCAGTGTGCCCGGGGAGGAGCTGCAGCGAAGCAAACAGTCACTGAAGGGCTCCCGCGTGTCCTTCGAGAAGAACAATACCAGCAGCAAGCCTGCAGTGGAGAGCAGCGACGAGGACAGCTTCGAGGACAAACGGATCGGGTTCCAGCAGCAGAAGGCCACCAGCGTGGACCACAAGGGCATATTGAAGGATTTGAAGCATATTTTGGCCAACGACAATCGGCGCCAATTCCAGGCCAAGAAGCACGTGTCGCTGGACGTGAAGGGCACTCGCTTTCTGCAGGACCTGCTCAAGGAGTCATCCTCGGAGGAGGAGTTCCACAAGACGCGACGCGAGTTCCAGGGCCGCAAGCACCAGAGCCTTGATCCGCGAGTCACCTTCAAGCTAGACAAAGTATTACAGGGCTCCAGCACAGACAGCGACGAGGAGGGCGACGACGCCGAGCATAAGCGCCTTATCCACCGGCCCAAGGACATCACCAAGCCACTCATTATCGACCTCAAGGATTTGGAGAGCGAAAGCGACGAGGACTTTCACACGTCGCGCCAGCACTTCCAACAGCAGCGCACCATCAGCACAGATTCCCGCAAAAGGTGAGTGCTAGGGTCAGGCCATTATCTCTGGATTATTTGTCGTTTCGCGAAGAAAAAAACGTGTGGTAGGAATACAGAATAATTCCCAAAAAAATGATGCGCGGCAGCAAGGGAAAACACACACAGAACAATCAGAGATCAGAGATATAGCAGGGCAGATTGATTGTATAAAATGGAATGCAAAATGTTTGATTTAACTTTGAAAGTATACTGACAAATAATGGTTATAGATGGGAACACATGTCGCTAAAACGACATACATTGCGTGTGCATGACACGCTGCTCTAGATGAACTAGATCAATGGATGCAAACGTAATCATTTCTTGAACCATAAAAAGTGCACAAAAATATAAAAGAATTACTATCCCAGCTTTTAAAAGTAGATATATGTACATCATATAGAAGATCTCCGATTGAATGAATATATTTAGCAGAAAAATCTGAACTGACGTTACCCAAAACTTAATGCGTAGCATTTTTATTTTCGGTTTAATTGAAGTGTCTCTGCACTTAAGTGGAAGACGAATTGTATTTTGATAGTATAATGACGGTTAGTCACCTTCTAATCCAACATTGAAACGCAATTTCAGCCGTCGCCTGTACGAGATGGATGAGATGGGGAACAAGCGGGGCGAGAACATCCGTCATGCAGTGCCCTTTGTGCGCCAGATAACCGAAGATGGCAAACCCAAGCTGGAGGTCTACAGGCCGACAACGAATCCCATCTATATATGGACACAGGTATGTTCAACAGAATACTAGAGAGTGTGCTATTGCTATTGCTATTTGCTATTACTGGTCTATATAAAAATGAGACCTATCCCCTGCGACGCAACGTGCGACTATTGTCAGCTCGTTAAGCTTGTTGGCGCCGCCTCGGGCTGTGGATATAGTTATGGATTATGAATGGGCATTAATGCCATCATAAAGCATTCTTTGAGCCAATTTAAAGCCCAAGCCGCAGTCCCAGATTGTGGGTCAGAGCGGGGCACGCGTGTTGAGTGCTATTTTCGCACGCCTTGAATAATAATTCGCTGGTGCTGGTGCTGGTGCTGGCGCTGACGCTGGCACTGCCGCTGGCGTTCACTTTAATTGAAATTAACGCATTTAGTTATGGCCGGACTAAAAATACAAGTATCTGATGGATGGTATTGGATTCGAGTAGGATGCATTGTACCCTTAGGGGCTTTCTCTCCTGTGTGGCGTGTCCGGCAGTTGCACTTTTGCTTCGTCCTCGCCAGACGCGCTCGCTCGCTCGTTGCCGGACTACAGCGAAATTTCAAACCCAGACTCAAGCAGCAACAACTGCAGCTTCTTCGTCTTTGAATGTGGATGCTCATCAATCCACAGAGTGTTGTCTGTTGGCACACGTAAATAGCGTGATAAGCCAGGAGGCATAATCGATTCAATCTGCTGTGCAGCAGCAGCAGCAGTCAATAAGTGATAAGCCGCTAAAAGTGCATCTACATAACCGCCATTACATATATGTTTGTCATTCATGTGTGCCTGTCCAGCCGCTTATGTACATACATACGTACTTATGTACGTGCCTGAGCCTAACAAATAGATCGCCAAACGGTTCGATTCTCACAAAACTGCAACTGCAAAAGTTGAGTTGAGTTTCAGTTGAGTTTCGTCGGTCAAACGTGCTGAAAGCATTCAGGAGTGCAAGGCTTAAAGTGAAAGGCAGCCACAGCCGCAACCTTGTGGCATTCAGTCGATTCGAATTAGATCAGTCTCTGTATAGAAATATAGAAAGCATAGATCCCTGCCATCATGAAGATCTTGATGCGTGCGGACACCCATGTGTCCTTCTCCGTGCCCGTGGAGGAGCCCAAGGCCATATGCACCTTCTCTCAGGTGGTTTCCCTTGCCCTCCATCTCCTGAGATGTATGAAAGTGTTCCACTTATAATTAAATTGAATGTTTCTTGTATTTGTACAGGTCTTGGCTGCTTTGAGCGTATCCCTGGGCTCCCTTGTGGTGGGCTTTGTCAGCGCCTACACGTCCCCGGCCTTGGTGTCAATGACCAACGGAAATATCACGTCGTTTGAGGTCACCCCGCAAGCGGTAAGTGCCTAACTGTACAAAAATTAAATGCGGAAAGTATCAGAAGAACATCATGGAAAAAATCCGTAAAATTTAAATTATCTGCTGCAAAAATTGTACACTTTCCTTGAGTCATTCTTTTCCCAATCCAATTCCAATCCAATTACCTAATCAATTGCATTTGCTTGTTCACTTTTGCAGGCCTCTTGGGTGGGCGGCATCATGCCTTTGGCTGGTCTAGCTGGCGGCATTGCTGGCGGACCCCTCATCGAGTATTTGGGCAGACGCAACACCATCCTGGCCACAGCCATACCCTTCATTGTGTCCTCGCTGCTGATTGCCTGTGCCGTGAATGTGGCCATGGTGCTGGCGGGACGCTTCCTGGCTGGTTTCTGTGTGGGCATTGCCTCGCTATCGCTGCCCGTGTATCTGGGCGAAACGGTCCAGCCGGAGGTGCGCGGCACTCTCGGACTGTTGCCAACGGCCTTTGGTAATATTGGCATACTGTTGTGCTTTGTGGCAGGCACATATATGGACTGGTCGATGCTGGCCTTTTTGGGCGCGACGTTGCCGGTGCCGTTCCTCGTCCTGATGTTCCTCATCCCGGAAACGCCACGCTGGTTTGTGAGCCGCGGTCGGGAGGAGCGTGCCCGCAAGGCACTTATATGGCTGCGCGGCAAGGAGGCCGATGTGGAGCCGGAGCTGAAGGGACTGATGCGGTCGCAGGCCGACTCCGATCGCCAGGGCAGCCAAAACAAAATGCTGGAGCTGCTCAAGCGCAACAACCTGAAGCCGCTGTCCATCTCGCTGGGTCTGATGTTCTTCCAGCAGCTGAGCGGCATCAATGCGGTCATCTTCTACACGGTGTCCATTTTCAAGGACGCCGGCTCGACCATCGACGGCAACCTGTGCACCATCATTGTGGGTGTCGTCAACTTCCTGGCCACCTTCATAGCCACCCTGCTGATTGATCGCGCCGGACGCAAGGTGAGTACCAAATGGCCAAAGCCGGCAGAGTATGTTTCACTCTTTACTGACGTTTTCCGTTTGCCTGCAGATCCTGCTGTATGTGTCCAACATAGCCATGACCATCACACTGTTTGTGCTGGGCGGCTTCTTCTACTGCAAGGCCCATGGACAGGATGTGAGCAATCTGGGCTGGCTGCCGCTGAGCTGTTTCGTCATCTACATTCTGGGCTTCTCGCTGGGCTTCGGCCCCATCCCGTGGCTGATGATGGGCGAGATTCTGCCGTCGAAGATACGCGGATCCGCTGCCTCCGTGGCCACCGCCTTCAACTGGTCCTGCACATTCGTGGTGACCAAGACGTTCCAGGACATGATTGGTGAGCATCCCACATTCGAACGAGAGGGAGAGAGAGAGAGAGAGAGGTGGATGCTAATGAATGTCCTTCCTTGTTCCTATTCAGATTTCATGGGCGCCCATGGTGCCTTCTGGCTGTTTGGATCCATCTGCTTCGTTGGCCTCTTCTTTGTGATATTGTATGTGCCCGAGACGCAGGGCAAGACGCTGGAGGATATCGAGCGCAAGATGATGGGCCGTGTGCGGCGAATGTCGTCGGTGGCGAACATGAAGCCGCTGGCCTTCAACATGTAAACATGTGTGGATCGAGAGTTGTCGTTGTCGTCGTCGTCCCATAGTCCATGGCCATAATCAAGGATCTGAATGCGATCAAACCAAATATTAGACTAGTGCCTTTAGTGCTTAAGTTGTGTAACAGCGCAATGGATGGAAGGAGAACCCTGGTCAGCAGCAGGAGCAGGAACAGGAGCAGGAGCTGCAGGAGCAAAACCCTGGGGCCTGATATTGTTAGTCCTAGCTATCGTGTAATGCTTAGCAAAAGAATTTCCTTTCTACACACATAATTCGTTACTATTATTTACAATATAGCCACTAAGTGCATAGTTTTATTATGTATGTATAAATGTATGTAAATTATGTTGAGTTTAGCCACTAGTTTATTTGTTGATACATGAATATCTGACGATATCTGATGATGGCACCCCAGAGTAGCCGCAGTCGATCAGCATTAATTTATCGGTGTAAAAAAAATGACATAAACACGTAGAACTAAATCTAAGGCCACACACACATAGAACACTTTTCCCCCCGAAACAATCTCCTTCAAAAAACAAACCAATTGGCTATATATCCATATATATATATATATATCGAATATATAATTGTATGCTATACCTAAGTCCTAAGTGTATCTATATGTAAATTAATTTAAAACAAAAATACAATCAAAACCAAATTTAAGTGAATTTTCTACTGCTGCTGCCGGAATTTCCCTAGACAGTCAGTCAGTAGTCAGTCACGCCCCTCTCTGGGTGAAAATGAATGAGCAAATATTTTACATACGACCTTCAGGGTGCACAGTTAACAGTTGTAACAATGTCAGCGCCTCAAAATACGTGAGTTTCATTGGGCTATATTGTACATACATATGTATGTCGCCAGAGTCTAGGCTAAATACAGCCGGATGGCCATTCCAGATGCACATGAACTACAAAAATAGAAACGCATTTACGTCCGCCCCTCTGCCCCCGTTCCGTACAGTGCAGGTCCAGTGGCAGTGGCACTGGCACTGGCAACAGCGTTTTGTATTTTATAATTGACAATTTCATTTGATATTTTTATAGACAAGCACAGACATTTGGCTTGGCTGCTGACGCTCAACGTACAGATGCAGATAAGGAGGCGAAGCATTACATGGGCCTCGCTTCGATTCGGTGTTCGTTGCTTATCGGATTCCCATTAGGAGGGAGATGATGGCAAGCGGTACATTCGCCGGATGCCTGACTGATACCAGACAGATCTAGAAATGTTTTCATCTATTTGAATCCCCCCCAGCCAATGATCTCCGATTGCCTGTGTAATCTGTTGTTTGATTTGCTGGGATTGAACTGGTGGTAACGGGAGCAGTCACGCACAATGGAGTTGTTCTACAATCGTTAACGACTGATTAGACAGTATATAAAGTATGTAACTTGATAAATAATAATATTATACAAATACAGATGCCATCTATCGAAGAGTTGAGTCAAGCCTGAGGGCCAGCGACAGTTCAGTACAGGGTGTAGTTCAAGATGGAACCATTAAGTTTGCGTGGGCATAACAATTTTCCACTGACACCCACACTCTGAGCTACAGCTACAGGATTTTGAATGCAAGCATTCCCCTTGCATGTTATTAACTTCAAGTTATATTAACTTCAAGTTATAAGTAACTTGTTACTCATTTTTTATTAGTCCTTTCCCTTTGTCTCATTGGGTCTTTGGTTTCAATCGGAACCTGCGGTTTTTGCACAACGCCATGACTAGGCAGCTATGTGGCCAACTTATCGAGATGGTTTAGTGTGTATTTAGTGCTCAATGTAAATGCTTCTACTCACCCATTACTTGGACACGGCAAATGGCACAAATGTCGCACTCCACGTCCCAGCTCCACATAGCCACAGCGTTCCATTTTTTCAGGGTGAACATATTCTCCGGTTTGCTGGATTCGCTGTCATCTGTGGGTCGGTCCAAAGAGCTCTCTGGGTCGTCGGCCATGTTTGGCGAGCCAATTGACTTATGGTTAATTGTTATTATTAATAAATTGTAAATAAAAACAACAGCTTGCGGGCAGTGGAGTTATCGATAACACATAACATAACATATACTAAAAAATTGATGTAATATACTTTCCGATATACTGAATCATGAGTGATGAGTGAACGAACTTAACCCACTTAAGCCCCCTTTATTAAAACAGGTGAAATACCACTAACCATACAGTATATAGATGAGCCAGTTCATATAAGGAATGTGACGTAGCTGAATGTTCTGTCCTAGGTCCACAGGCCGAAGACCTAAGGACGGTTTCGCCCAAAACGCAATAACTCAATAACTCAACCGTAGTGTAAACAGGCTATCAGCGCTTAACAGCGCTGCACATTTCATGTACATGTTAATTGAGACCGTTAGTGCTGTTAGATGTGGGGCGCTCAATTTAAACGCCTACAAATAGTGAATGCACTTAAAGCGTGTATTTTGATTGTAATTGTAATGGCACGCACTTAACAAGTGCCGCAAATGCATAACATTTCGAAATGCAAAGCAATTTGGCGCTAGCCAAGCGACGGACGCGACACCACGCTACGATTACCCGGCACGATATGGGGGCCATTATGCACTTCAAGTGTTTTCGTTTGTTCATTCCGCTTCAATTGCCAAGCCAAGTCGTAAATTTGTTGGCAATCCATGAATTGTGTTCATCTTTTCTTTTCCATTATGACAGCTCTGGCCATAATTGCGAAAAAATGCTGCCAAGCTGCGGATTCGGTTTGGTTTGGTTCGTGAGGCGAGCGTTTCCTGCAATTAATTTGGCAGCTCGATGATGCAATCCCGCCGCGCCGCCAATCGCAAAGCGCTCCTTGCATAATCAACTGGCCAAAGAATACACACAGACAGACAGAAGCAGCAGCAGCAGCAACAGCAACAGCAGCAGCAGCAGAGGAATTGCACAACAGCAACAGGTTTTTCTTTCATTTTCATTTCCATTTCGCTGCCCGTTACCGTTACCGTTACCATTACATTACGTGTCGTGTGGCGTTCAGTTGGTAATTTTCACTTTCACTGCCTCCCCCTGGTGCACCACCCCGCCAGACCATTAATTAAGTTTTCCCCAGTTTGTTGTTTTTGAGTTTCTTTAGCTTATAATTTAAATATGAAATTGTAGTTGGCCTAATACAATGATAAAAGTACTAACACATTTGGCTTACAACTGATGTGGGGACTGGACCAGTGTGGTGCCAGTATCCCCACCAGATCTCGATCCGAGTAGCTGGTCAGTTTGTCCTCTCACCCGCTACTCGCTTCCGTTCTCCGCTCTCCTCCTTCTTCTGCTCTGCCTCTGGCTCCTCCTCCTCCTCCTCCTCGTGTCACCCGTTCAACGTCCAGCTCAACGTTGCCTCGTGGATTCATGACTGAAGACTCGCTGGTAGTGTCTTCGCTTGCTTCGCGTTCTCCTTGTTCGTTTACTTCTTCTCCTGCTTCCTGTTCTTGTGCTCGCGTTCTGTGCTGGGCTGGTGGCTCTAGTAGCCGTGTCCGTGGCCATGTCCGTACTCGTGCTGGCTCTGATGGTGATCCTCGTGATGCTTGAAGATTGGCACTTCGACGTGATATTTGTGTGGAACCGGAATCTCCCTGTGGATGGGCACCTTCACCTGTGTGTAGACGGGAATGGGCTTCTCAATTGGCACCTTCACCTCATATGGGACGGGCTTCTCGACGGTGTAGTGAACTTTCTTCTCCACGGTGTAGGGCTGGGGCACTGGCACCTTCACATGGACTGGATATGGTTTCTCCACCTGCAGGCGATACGATACCCAAAATAAATTGATTATTGTATTTCTGGGGGGAGGTAGAGATCCTCTTCTCTGTTCTCTGATCTTTACTCACCTCAACTTTGTACGGTTTGTCGACGGGCACCTTCACTTCGTAGGGTACTTTCTGTTCCACGACCACTTTGTACGGTTTCTCGACTTCAACGTCATACGGTTTCTCCACTTCCACATCGTAGGGCTTCTCCACTTCGTATTTAACCTCATACGGCACCTTCTTGATGACTTCGTACGGCTTGGGTACGGGCACTTCGATCTTCACTTCATGTGGGACCTTCTTGATCACTTCGTAGGGCTGTGGCACGGGCACTTTCACCTCATACGGAATCTTCTTGATCACTTCGTACGGCTGTGGGACATGGATCTTCACTTCGTACGGCTTATCGACAGGCACTTTCACCTCATATGGGATTTTCTTGATCACCTCATAAGGCTTGGGCACATGGACGGGATACTTTACGTATTCCTTAACATGGACAGGCACTTTCTTCTCCACAATATAAGGCTGAGGCACATCGACCTTAACTTCATAAGGGATCTAATGGAAAGTGGGTTAAGTGTTATTTATGAGTGGTTTTTTGGGACTGGGAGCTCTCACCTTCTTCTCCACGGTGTAGGGGACATGCTTGGTCACAGTGTAATGAACTGGGACCTTCTTCTCGATGGTCACCGTCTTGATGTGCTCGTGATGGTGCTGCGGCTGATAGTGATGATGATAGTCGCCCACACTGCCATAGAGGCCACGCTTCTCGACGGTCTTTTCGTCCGCCCCACCACCACCGCCAGCACCACCATCGGCGGCGGTGGCTTTCTTCTCCTCGATGGCCGCACAGTGGGCCAATGCCAAGCACACGGCGAGACAAGGAAGTACGAACTGCAAAAACAAAAAGGATAATCCGTATATGTTAGGCTGCTCTTCAGGCTCCTAGTTTAGTGGGGGGCTGGTTTACCATGCGCATTGTTGAGCTGTTGATTTGACGTTTCACGGGGGAAACAATTACTCCACGATTAGCTGTGTTATACCAATAACGAGATCCAAGCTGGTACTGATTCGCTCTACCGCTGCACTCGGCTTTTATACACCGAAAAAATTGGCTTGCTAGCTGGTTGGCTTGTCTTTTTCTTCTATACTATATATATCTCGCAACGCAATTCACAATTCACTGAGACTGCGGCTGTGACTGCGATACTGCGGCTGCGCGAAGGCGCATTCGCAACTTTTGTTGTTGTTGTTGTTGTTGTTGTGGATTTTGGCTTAGTAATGAAAAGTTAGTTGGGGGAACGGTGTTATATGTTATATGAAAACTTGTTTCGGTTTGGGTTTCGGGTTTCGCCTATAGCAGTTTGGGTTAGGGGGCCAGGAGGCCAGGAGGCTGGGCGGCTCAGGAGCTTAAGCCTCATATTACAAGTAGTGGGGTAGTCGTTATCCTCTATTTAACAATAGCTAGGAAGTATGCATCGCATCTGATCTGTTACAGAGACCCAAATACAAAAGTCGTGGCGGCTACTTTGAAACGAGACAACAATTACTGCATTTCAATACGTCTCTCTGTCTGCCTGTCTGCCTGTCTCCCTGTCTGTCTCTCAGTTGATTGGCAAGAAATATCGAATTGTTACGGCTTCCGTTTCTCACTAGACCAAAGCCTGGACATATGATATGTGTTTGTTTGTATGGGCGATCGTATATGCTTATGCGATGCTGATGGATTATGCAAATGAAAGCGGCTATTGACTCCACTCCCGTAACCCCAGAGCCAGCCTTGGTGTAGCAAGGGGCAGGCAGAGACAATGGGAAGGTTAAATTTTGTTCATTTGTTAGATTTTACATATTTTATCTCGGCTTATGGGCATTTATGGGGTCATCATTTCATTTCAGCAGAAGCACAACAAAAGACCTAGTACGCGCATCGAGCTGACCGCGAGTCCAAGTTGAACCAAAACAATGCATTTGTGGTAAGGAGTCGAGCTGACACACGTGCATGCCGCAACGTGCAATTCCGTGTGGGAGAGAGTGGGAGGGGACCTCCGGCTGATGGCCTGATCGTGATGTCCGCCAGAGCCCCCCTGTCGGAGCAGGCTTCCCGACTGGATAGCTGGATTTACATAGCTACATATTCCTAGTTATTATGTGATGTATGTTTGCCTGACTGACTGTCTGACTGACTGGCTGACTACCTGGATTTTTGTGCAATCCGGCGCTGCACACACTCACTCACTCATTCAGTCATTAAATCGAAAACATACTTAGCTCCGACTTCGGCTATTTTAAAATCCATCATGTGGCAATACTAACAATTCGACTAGCAACAAAAAAAAAAAGAGAAGTAAAACAAAGCCCAGGCAGGCAATGGCAGTTGTGCCTGTGCCTGTGCCGTGAACAATTTTCGCAAAATAGAGATGGAGACGCGAAGCGATGACGGACCCCAGACCAGACGCGGAAGACAGGCAGTTCGGGCAGCCAGGCGGCCGTGCACAGACACAGCATTTACATGCATACATACATACCTACATGCTTATTATTATTTCATAATCAAATTTAGGCACATTTTGCGCTAATTGCCTGCCCATTCCATTCCCCAATTTCCCCCATTAACTGCAATTCTTTGAGGCAGTCTTTGAGCCACTCCACTCCACACTGGCAGTGCATTTGGATTTTGTTTTGGTCAATGACCTTCACTTTTATTTTAGAGTGGCAACGCCTCTGCTCTGCGATTTCGGCTCTCCTGCATTGTGCGCATTGTAAAGAGTGATGTGATGTGATCGTAAAAGTCAAATCCAAAGCTAGCTTGAACCTTTGCCTGGCCATCTGTAAAAGAAGGGTAGTGGGGTGCTGCCACAACCTTGACCCATTCATTATTTCTCTTGTTATCTGGTTTTTAACTGGGCAAATGCAATTAGTTGGAGACTGTGCGGGGCTGGCCCTTTTATTTTGCTTAGCTTTTAAGTGTCTCATGGTGAGCAATCAAATGTGAAAGTAAAACTCTTAATTCCCGACATTACGACATGTTATGCAACGTGTTTCCTTTAATAAACCGGGTCCTTGAAGTGGACCAGCATTTATATAATCATAAAATGGACCAATAACCAGACATGACATGTTAAATTCGTACTTCCTAAACAGTTTGCGGAAGTTTCTCTGTAAATTCAAATTCGAATATTTGCGCCAAAATAACATAACAGTCATGCGCTTAACAGGCACAAAACCAAATCTAGGTATTATTAATTATTTTTTTGTTGATATTTACTGGTTACTAACCTGATTAAATAGAGCGGGGTTAAGCTATTACTTTTCTCGGTTTCTGAGGTTCCAGTCACACTCGACAAAACAAATTAAGTGAAATATTTATTTTTCCATATATATACTTTTGAAAATGACCGCCAAACTCATTTAGCGCACAAAAAATACTGACATTTTTCGCTCTCAATTCGTGGTGGTATCAGAACCGGGATAAATGTATTTATAAAGCACAAAAACATATGCATAGATATGTAAAAACTACTCAATCTAAAAAAAATGCAATATTAATGTTTCAAAGCAGCCTGAAATAACAAATTTAACATCAATTAAAGGAAATAAGGTATACAAAAGTCCATACTCATAGAAGTAACTTGGTTGACCAGCAACATTGACGTCTAATGAAAACGAGTTCTGATAACTAGCCAATCCTCAACATAATTCATTGAGGAATTGGATAAAATTATATGTTTAGGGCTGAGAGGGCCAACTAGCTAGTAATATTAAACGGAATATCAAAATTTACGAATTTCATATCAAAAAATATCATGGTATGGCAGTCCGCAGCAACTACGAATTGCACGAGTCTGGCAGCGCCACAAAACGACGTCACATACGTTTTATGTTGTTTTTGTTTGAACCTTAATATGTAAAAATAAAAAAGGCTCTAAACTGCCAATCTTGTAGAAATTATGTATCTATCGGATAAATTATTTGTTTAGGGCTGGAGTCCCAGCTAGCTAGTAATATTAAACCGAAATAAAATTGAGGATAAACTTGGTTAACAATCGTACTACGAATAGTATCGGGCTCAAATAATATAAAAACCATTGAAACCTTTTAGGAACTTGTCCATTGTAAAAATTAGATGCCACCTGTCGATTTGCTTACAAATGTGTCTTCGTATTTTATAGCAGCCAATCCAAACATATCAAAAGCTCAACGACTGTAGCTCGATATTATCATGATAGTCGCAAACCCGTCGATAGTAGAGGCTAGCAGTAAAATATCGATTCTATCGATATTGCCCTCGATTGTTTGACACCTCTAATCGCAAGTCATTCCGGCTTTAATTTTTGTGATTTTGTGAACGAATTTAAAGAAAAGTGAGCATTTATTTTGTTGATACGTACCTTTTAGATAACTTTTAACTACTAACATTGCAGTCAGACATGTTTCTTACACGCTCCGAGTACGACAGAGGTGTAAACACCTTCTCGCCCGAGGGACGTCTCTTCCAGGTGGAGTATGCCATTGAAGCCATCAAATTGGGTTCTACCGCCATCGGCATTTGCACCAAAGAAGGTAGAGGAAGTCGTGATGTTATATGTGATATTTTTAATTAAAATTGTATCCATTATGCGTTCGCAGGCGTTGTCTTGGCCGTAGAGAAGCGCATCACATCGCCCCTGATGGTGCCCAGCTCGGTGGAGAAAATCGTGGAAGTGGACAAGCATATTGGCTGCGCCACCTCCGGCCTGATGGCCGATGCACGCACACTGATCGAGCGCGCCCGCGTGGAGTGCCAGAACCATTGGTTCGTCTACAACGAGCGCATGTCCATCGAGTCCTGTGCCCAGGCCGTCTCCACGCTGGCCATTCAGTTCGGTGACAGTGGCGACAGCGATGGTGCCGCCGCCATGAGTCGTCCCTTCGGCGTGGCCATACTCTTTGCCGGTGTCGAAGACAAGAAGCCCCAACTCTGGCACATGGATCCCTCGGGCACTTTTGTGCGTCATTCCGCCAAGGCCATTGGCTCCGGTAGCGAGGGCGCCCAGCAAAAGTTGCAGGAGGACTTTACACCCGAAATGAGCCTGAACGATGCCATCGACACATGCCTGAACACACTGAAGCAGGTCATGGAGGAGAAGCTCAGCTCGACCAATGTGGAGGTGATGACCATGACTGCCGAGAAGGAGTACTACATGTTCTCCAAGCAGGAGGTCGAGCATCACATTTCAAATTTGGCGTAAATCGTTGCATAGTTTTCCATAATTTTTATATCGGTAAAAAGAATAAAAAACTTAAATGTGAATAAAGGGATTCTAAATCATCCAGCTATGATGCAGTTGCTTCGATAAGGGATAAGAAAAGTCTGATGTGGATTGTTTATTATATACAGTTGATTTTTATTCATATATTTAATGTATGTATATCGTATTGGTGTATATATTTTATTCACTACAACATTTGCGGGCTGGCCACCCCTTTCCTGGGTCGGATCGGAGTGCATCGCCTCTACAATAATATCTTTCTATATATAATAAATGTGTACTCTCTAGACATTAAACTGTTGAGCAAAATCAAAACAGCGCTCGGATTAACTTGGTTAATCCCATTACAAAGGCAAATCATAAAGAATTCTCATCTCTACGCTCTTCGTGTGTGCAACAGACTTCTCTCATATTTTTGTTGTTTTCGATTTTCATTTCATTTTACCTAGAACCGAAATAATGCAAATAAGGCAGAGTAAACGCTTACCGACTATGGGAGGCTAAGGATACAAGTGGTAATGGTGTATCAAAGGGAAAAGGAGTGGGGTGGACAGACAGGGAAGACAAAGACGAATCAAAATTAAGAAAAAATGTATACCTATATCAATACGAGAGTATATATATATACTGTATATATATGTATATGTATATATATGTAAATAGGGATCCCGCCTAGTCCGGGATCCTTTAGAGCATTCACAATCGTTTACACATCACACACCTAGGTCGTTGGATGTTCGCTGCCACTGGGACTGCTGCTGGTGTTGCTATTGGTGTTGGTGTTGTTATTGGTGTTATTATTATTATTATTGTTGTTGGCCGCACTATTCGCGCTGGCATTTGTGGCGTTCGGCGAGTTACTTGTCGCTGTGTTGCTATTGGTGCGTAGCATCAGGCGCGACAGACTGGTATTGGGCTCACTGAGCGAATAGATCTCCGGTTCGAACACTGGCGGACACTCCATGTTCGGATAGTCCGGGGTGGCCGCCTTCGAGTCCACGGAATTGGTGTTTGATACTTTTGGTGTTGGCGTTGGCGTTGTTGCTCCTGTTCCCGTTCCTGCTGCCAACGCTGGCTCGTCCTCCTTGGTGTTACTGCTACTGCTGCTGCTGTTGTTGGCCATCGTGGGTGGCGGCGGTGCTGGCGGCAGAGGCGGCTGCAGCGACTCCGACGTGCACAGATTGGTGGTGGACGCAGTTGGCACTCCAGGGCCACGGTAGCTGCGATAACCGGCCTGGTTGTGCGTGGGCAACGTTATCTGCGAGAATATCTCCTGATCGCAGTCAGGATCTGCGCTACACGGAGGCGTCACAGGCTGCAGCGGCAGCTGATGGTGCTGATGATGGCCGAACAGCGTGCGATGCAGAAGGGGCGAGCCCAGAAAGCGATTCTCCTTCGATGACTTCGTGGACGTGGCCGAGGATATCGACAGCTTGGCAAAGATGGGTATGGGCGCGGAATTTTTGCGATGAGCATCGTACTTGGTGCCCGTTATTTTTTCCCTCAGGTCCTGATTGTACGTCTGGCTCTTCTTAATGCTGCTGCTGGCAATTCCAATGCCAATGCCACTGCCGCCGGCTCCACTATCCAGGGCATGATTCGACTTGGACTTTTTGTTCAGCGGCAAGGTCATGGTCATGGGCAGGGCTGGAGCACACGCCACACTGCCACTGCCGCTACCGCTACCAGATGAGTGCTTGGAGGAGAAGGGAAACCGTCGATCGCTGCTGGACTTCACCTTGCTTTTCTTCGGATCGGCGCTTGAGTTTTTGCCACCTCCTCCACTGGCATTGCTGCTGCTGCTGCTCTTGTGCAGGAAGCTGGAGAGCTGCAGCTGCGAGCGCAGAAAGTGCTTTGTTCGACTGCTATGGTGCGGCTGCTGCTGCTGTTGTTGCTGTTGCTGCAGCTGCAGCTGCTGCTGTTGCTGCTGGTGGTGCTGCAGAAATTGATGATGGTGATGGTGCAGCTGCTCGTGATTGCTGGATGAGCTGGGCTCGTCCCCGCATATCAGCTCGTAGCCAAAGTCGCGCAGCTTTTGGCCCTCCTTCGTGCGTGTCCGCTTGATGCTCTCGTCGTCCGGCTTGAAGCTAATCTCGTAGTCCGGCGTCTTAGGCAGACTGACGCTCTGGATCTTGGGCAGATTCGCGGGCGGCTTCACCACGGTGCTACTCTGTTGGCTGGCCGTGGACTCGGTGCGCGCATGCTTGTGCTTTTCCACACCCAAATGCACTCGATTGTTGTACATCTCCTGGGCCTCCTCCTCCTGCTTGCGCAGCATCAGATCCTTCAGCGTGACAAAGCCCTGGGTGTTGTGGTGATGGTCCAGCGTTCCCCCTGCACTCATCTTGGGCAGCAGCGTCTTCGAGGTGTGGAAATCAAACTCCACCAGATTGGGATTGGAGGCATGCAGAAAGTTGAAGGGCACCTTCTTCAGGCTCGACTTGCTGTTCGGACTCTGACTCTGGCTCTGGCTCTGACTCTGACTGTCCTCGGAACTCTGGTGTTGCAAGGAGCTCACAGTAGGCGCTGGCGATGTGGGCGGACCCAGGGCCAGCGAGGCCGACACCGAGGCCGAGACCGAGGCAGCGGACTCAGTGTTGCTCACCACAGAGCAGCGGCTGGAGCTGCGCGACAATTTGCGCGCCTCAGCGGCCATCGCCGTTTGCGTGACCAATGTGGGCGGCATGGCCGGATCGTGGTAGCCCGGAGTATTAGCACCGATCTGGATGCCAAAGCTACCGCCGGGCACCTTCCGGTAGCTGCGATACTGCTCTGTGGGCACTGGGATGTCGCTGGAGGGCTTTGCCGCGCTGCTCTTAAAGGGACCCATCGTGAACTTGCGGAACGAGTCCAGGTAGCTGCGATCGTGCTTGATGACGTGCCCGGAGCTAGAGGTGGGCGTGCTGCTGCCGCCTCCGCCGGTTAGTATGCCGCCGGAGGACATCTCCTTCGAGCCTTGGGGCGAGGGTGTGCACAGATTTTTGGCCACCAGGGCGTCACACTCCTCGCCCGAGCTGTCGTTCTCCGAGTACAGATCTTTGGTGTCCGCACGAACGTTGGGCGGTATCTTCTGGGAGGCCTGGCGTAGAAAGTCCACCCACTGATTGAGGGCATCCAGGGACTCGGCCGCAAAGTAGAAGCTCTTGGCCGTGTGGTATACCTTGAAGGCGTGCGGCTTGGAGTGCACTTCCTTGGCCAGGGAGACGGTAAAGCCCGGCAGAAAGATCACCAGGCTGGCGGAGGTGCTCTGCTTGCTGCGGAATCCGTACAGGATGGTGTCCAGCATCACAAAGTATATCCTTGCCCAGTAGGTGACGCCGCGATGGTTCTTCTTTCGCCTGTACAGATGGCCCTGAATGTCGCCGGTGCCCAGGAGCTTTAGGTTCGTGTTCCGCCGCTTGGCCATCAGGCTGTGCTTCTTCTTGAGCGTCAGGGTACGCGATTTGCTGGGCGTGTGCAGCTCACTAATCTCCGCCGGCTCCGATGGTGTGGTAGGAGTCTGAACAGTCGACACAGGTACAGCAACAGGTACAGACGTAGACACAGATACAGATACAGGTACGGGGATGGGGACAGGTACAGGTACAGGGAGTAGGACAAGTGCAGAGGCTGCCAGCATGCTGGCCGGCTTGGGTGGTGGCGGCGGCACCACCGGCGGACTCATCTCCTTCTGCTTGCGCGGTCGGGGTGGCGGAGCTGGCGGAGTGACCAGGAGGAACTCCTTGCGCGGCTCGACGGCTGGCGGTGTGTCCGATTCCTCGCCAGAGTTATCGTACGCCGGCGTGCTGTGGCTCTTGTCCAGGCGACCACGGCGGTTCAGCAGCAGGGGGGCATTGATGGCCTCCGCCAGGGGCAGATCCTGGCCAAGGGTGGCCATATTAATGGCCTCCAGCAGCTCCTCGGCGTTCTCCGTCTTGCAGTTGCGCAACGTCTCCAGGGCATCCTCGTCGCCCTCGTCGGCGAAGGGAATGGGCTCGAAGGTCTCCAGGATGGTGTTCTCCACATTGCACGTAAACTTCTCGTTGCGCACCACGTAGTCCTCCACCTTCATGGTGGCATCGAAGCGCACCACCTTGCTGACGCCCGGCTTGTAGCGATCCTCCACATGCTCCCGCTGGAACTCCTCCGTCAACTGCTTCAGCTTGCGCGCCTCGTTGAACATCCGTCGTGCCTTGTCCGTGGAGCTATCGCCAATCCCAATGCACGTCGTCGGACGCGGTGCAATCTCCAGCCCATAGCCGAAGGAGATGGATTTGTCTCGTATGCTGGGCGACCCAGGATCACAACTGCCCGCAGACGAGCCGATGCCCGGCTTTCGTTCGTGCCACGAGGGCACAACCAGATCGGAGTGCTTTAGGCTGAGAAACTCATCGCCACAGATGGTGTTCCTGCGCTGAAGCAATGCCCTCGGCTTGGGATAGTACAGCCGCATCTCCCGCGTCGCTGATTTGGGATCCGTGGGCGTGGCTATATCACTGCAGCTGGAGTCCGAGTCCGAGGAGGCCGGCGGACTAGTTTTGACCACCTCACTTTTGTCGCTCGCCAAAGACTTGGTCACCTCCGTGCCCAGGGAGCCCGTGACCACCTTCTCCGTGTCCAGCGTGAGAAAGGCAGTCCGCGGACTGGGCATCTGATCCGCCCAGCGACATGCCATGTTGCGCTTTTTGCTCGGCAGCCGATACGGTTGCATGTAGATCTGGCCAAACATTTTGGTGTGCTTGGGTCGCTTCTTCACGGTCAGCACCACATCGGGCAGGGACTCGCGCAGGTGCTCCAGCACCGTTTTGTGCTGCCACCCGACCACTGTCTGGTAGTTGATCTGCACGATCTCGTCCCCGTCCTCGATCTTGCCCGAGTTGTGGGCTGGCGAATGGTACTTGTTGTCCGTCACGCGATGGATGCCATTGTAGCTGGACTCTATGTTGAAGCCCAGCTCCGATTCGCGCTTCTTCAGGTTGACCAGGTTGAGGGAGGATGGCTGCAGCACCATCGGATCGGAAATGTCCTGGATCATGAAATTGGCCAGACTCTCCAGACGCTCGGCGGTGCTCCTTATCTTGTCC